GTTATTAGCGCTGTGTATAGTAGCAAGAAAGTAAACGAGTGACCATGAAGCGATTGTGTATTGGTTTTAAGTTAATGCCATGGTCTATAAGAGATTCCACCGGGACCGCGACTCAAGTTACCTCATGTATATATTCGCTACGCAATGCAGGGTCATTGGCATCGCATATTCCGTACATATTATTGCTTGTATCTGCCAAAGCATATATTTCCATGGGTTACTGGGTTTCTCTCAGAGTAGACAATATAATGATGCCAATTGTGTTGGTGATATGCTAGTAAATAAAAAACGGATTTGAGGATAATCAAATCAGTTTGGGCATTTAATTGGATAGATCGGTCATATTAATCTTAAGGCGGTTCTTTTTTATATTGTTGCGTGAGAAAGAGACAAAAAAATTTTGTGCCCACCATCCCACCATTATTACTGTCGAGTATAGATAACTTTTAGCTTTGCGACTTTCGCAAACAATATAACGCATTTACGTCCTTGATTATTGATGTTTTCGTGCTAACTTTTAGCAAGTGGAAATCAGGTAGTTTTCGCTCTCAACTTCAATACAGTACTTTGGGTGCAATCCAACAAGTATCATTGTCGAAAAGCAACGATTGCTGCAGTACATGGCAAAACAGAAGGGTTATCTTGAGTTTCATTTTATTAAAATGTAGAGCAGCGAATAAAGCGATAGCGTTACATATGGAAGTCGGTCATTTTAATTCTTTAAAGCAAAAGTGACAGACGAGGAGTAATAATGAAGTAAAAAATTATCACTGTATTATCATTGTATTTCGCATCGTGTACCTTGACATCTGACGCTGTACCTGACGTGCATATACTACGTGGTGCATCAAATTGGTCGCTCAGTCTGATTGCGTGATATTTTGATATGCCAGTAGTGCATCAGAGTATAAAACTTTACGAAAGAAGAGCATCTATTATGTCAGCATATCATACTAAGCGCTTATCGAGAAGCACTTAAAAGATTTTACAACGTCAAGTGAAAGCTTAATACGTGGTTGCTCCTACACAGTCTTCTACTATATCCACATGATGAACTCGGATTTATCTTTTACACTTTTAATGCCATGTGTGACCATATAGACACAGCACCTTTTAGCCGCCATAGCGAGCTACTAGATTATTAAGACATATAGTAAAGCTTCTTCGCTATGTTATATTCAAATTGGACAATATTTGCTTCAACCAGACTATCAGGCGCTAGTTGCCAGCAAACGAGAAAAAACCCTGCAACGGAGTTTTCCTCTAATACAGGGTACATCAATATAACACGTATTCGCCAACTTCGTTTGACATTTCCAAAGCTAAGTAGGTCGTAGTCCCCGTTTAAATCGTAACTTGTCATCAATCTTGTCACTTGTTGAACGAGCTGTATATATAAAAAAAAAGGAGGAAAACGGTATGAAAAAAGAAAACGCCTAACTCTACCTGATTCCCTTCACACAAACGATCTCCGCGAGCAGAAAGCCGTTCATTTTGGTCCTGAACTTCCTTTTTTTTTCACATTAATTGCATAGATCCCCCCACTTCCTCCAACACGCACTCACGCTTTATACTCTTTTCAATCTCTTTGTGTCTCTTTTCCTATTCAATGCTCGACTACTACCTACAACTTTAACGAGCAATGGACCCCAAATAATTTACGGCTGCCCAACAAGGCATGCCAACGTCTAATCAACAACAAGCTGTAAATACTCGGATGATGATGGCGCTTCAACAACAGCAGCAGCAGCAGCAACAGCAACAGCAACAGCAATCGAACGATCCATCGCTACAGTATAATGCAGCTGCAGCTGCTGCCGCCATGGGCAACATGAATTTCAGTAGTACACCAAATCTCGGGTCTATGGCGTTTGCACCTCAAGCCGGCGGTGGTGGTGGTCCTGGTGCTAATACTGCTGGCGATATGAGCCAATTTGATCAGACTGATTTAATGGGCATGAACCCATTCCTAGGCCAAATGACCACCCAACAGCAACAGCAGCTGCTAGCCCCAATGCCACAAGCAGCGAATTTACACAACTTGAACCAACAGCAGGTATTACAGCAACAACAACAACAACAACAGCAGCAGCATTCGCCGGCTCAGCAGCAACAACACGGTCTTTATTCGTCACCACAGAATATGGGCCCGTTCCCTGCTAATGCATCTAATGGAGGTAATGAACTTAGAGATTAAACTAAATAAGCATTACAAACGACAACAACGGTAAAAACGCGTCGTTTCCCCTTCTTCATGCCTTTTATATACTGACATTCTGTTGTTTTCTCTTGTCTTGCTAGCTTTGCAAAACCAGTTGCAGCAACAGCAAAACAGAGGAATGTTTCAACCTGGTGATATGATGTCGCCCAACACACCGCAAAGCTTACTGTTCCAGCAGCAGCAGCAACAACAACAGCAACAACAAATGGCAATGAATAGAGGTAGGACAGCCCTGATGAAAAGGGTGGCAGAGAGGGTGTAAGGACAAATGGACGGAAAACTTACTATGTGGGGTTGTGATTGTTATATAGTACGTCAATCCCCTAGCCAGTCTCCCGCGTTGAACAATGCACATTTCCAAGGCTCACCTGTTATTGGAGGTAGTCCACAGGTTGGAAGCAATCGAATGCCTAATGATTTTGCTGGTGAGTGAACTGTTGAGTATATGGTATGGGTTATGGAGATAGAAATAATGTGCTGATCTTTGTGTAACACTATTAGCATCGTCACCAATGGGTACATCTGTATCTTCTCCAGTTCAGGGACAAACACCTAGTATGGGCGGACCTGGAACACCTATTGTAAGAATATATACATCATGGAATGGATTTATCGCTGTGATGTGTGTGTATGCGAGCTCTTTGATTTTTACTGACATGATGGTGATGGCAGAATCGAGTGATCCCCTCTCAAATGGGCCGTTATATGCAACATATGAGTGCACAGCAACAAGCAATGATGCAGGGAAATATACCTTCACCATCCGGAAATAATCGACATATACCCTCACAAGCATCACCTCAGGTACGGCTTTTCTATCCAGTTTTTCAGTCATGCATAATGCTTGTGGATACATGCTGAAAAGAACATCATTAACGATGATTTATGGGATATACAGCAAATGGGCCAGGGCGAGGGTGTAAAGGATGCTCAGGTACCATCCCAACAAGGAAACTACAATCCCAATGTCATGAATTACGCACAACAATCACCTATGCAAAAGAATGCTGCTTCTCCGGCACCCAGACGTTCTGTGACTCCTGGAAGCGCAGCATCTACACCTCTACAACAACATCGCCAGGTAGAAACACAAGCACAACAACCTCCACAACAGCATTCACAGTCGCAACCACAAAATTCAGTGAAGTCAGAGTCACCAGCAAATCCATCTCCTGCTAGTCATCCAGCTAATCCTATCAGCAAAACAGACACGCCATCTCCTAAACCTTCGCCTGGCATAAAAAGCGAAACTGCCGGTTCACCTGCTCCAACTGCTACTGGCGACAAGGAAAACGCTACCTCAACAGTAACTATATCGTATATCCCCAAGACACGAAATGTCGAAACATATGGTGGCGTCGATCTGAAATATTTCGACAAGTTTGATATCAAACCCATGATGCCACATTTTAACGAACTTGGTAAGCAACAGCAAGTACATGATGATAGGCACATTGTACAAACTACGGCAAATACTCAATAATGTGTCGTCATGATGCAGGTACTATTGACATACATGCTCTCATCATGTCACTGAAATCCGGTATGAAGATGGAAGTGACGAACGCGCTCAATGTCCTCACCATCATCACAACACAGCACGGATTGGGCTTAATGTATTGCGATGATATGCTGGACGTGCTATTGGATTACATGGAGCAGGATATCTTTGGCACATGTACGCGATTTGTAACGGGCGATTTCCCGGATATTCCTACGCGCGAGCCGATCGTATCTGAAGACGAGCAGCATAATCTCACGTATGCCGAGCTATTCGACATGTCTCTAGACGAAATGAAGAGCCTAATACCGAATCTAGAAGACTCAACCTCAGATTTATGGCTATCTTTACGAGAGCGGTGCCTATGCATTTTCAACATTTTCCGCAACCTTTCTTTCACATCTGATAACATGGAGTATCTCGCTAAACATGAACGCTTTGTTCCGTTGATGGCTCGCATTATGGATAGCACGCGACACGTGGCACAGATGGAAGGCAAGGACACTACAGGACACGAAGCATGGTACATTGGTGTTCGACGGATGGACACGCTAGACTTTCGCAAGAGCATCCTCATCATCCTATCCAACATTACAATGATTCTGCCACTGCGTCGGACCGACATGGCAGGCACATTTGTACGGCTGACATACGACTTTTTGACCTATGGCCCAGACACCTATTAATCGTTACTGGCAGCAGAGATATGGGCTAAGGTGACAGTCAACTATGAAAATCGCAAAATATTTGCCAAATTGGTGGCAAAAACGTCGATCGATGCACTGCGTGGTATCTGGGTAGAACTGGCGTCGCTTATCCGGCGAGACTTTTTCTTCCTCGATGGGAAAGTCGTATACAACCTGACAGCAAGCCAGCTCGCAACGCTTGAATATACCATCATGGGATTATACAGCATCGTGGCCATTCTCGGTGAAGCTGGTGACGAGCGGAAACTCAAGGAAGCACTGTTTGAAAGCGACCGTACTGTTGCCATGACGATTCTCCGGCTCTGCATCACATTGGCTGACACGGGTAACCAGCATTTTGTCGTAGTAACAAAGCGAGGCATGGAGCTTGTGCGCAAGTTTATCTGTGGCGAACAGTCTGGACGTCGCCCTGGTGAAATGGATGGTCCCGTTGGTGGTGATGATAGCGATGTGCCACACGAAAATCTAGTAAAGATGGCTCACCGGATGCTGGATATGAATGCTGTACGCCAGATGCTGATGATGGCTATGTTGCGACCCACAACTGAAGCTGAGTTGTTACGCGACTTGTCAGACCTGGTCAACCTGATTGATGGAAACGTTGACACACATGTAGCATAGCATAACATAGTATACTTCTTCTCTTTTCCTTCATTGTTTCTTCTTCTGTCCCTCACCCACATCCCCCACTTAAAGTGTATAAAAACCTGTTTTCATTTCTTTCTCTCGTATAATAACTTCACTTTTAGCAGCCCATCATAATCGTTTATATAACTATTTTTTTGTGTGACCCAATTTTTGTAACTATCTCTTCTTTTTATTCGCACTTGCCTATTGTAAATTTGAATAATGGCTTCTCCACCACTCGACAACGCTGAATTCAAAGACGATGATCCCGATTCGCTTCTTGTTAATGTGAGCGTGTCTGAAGTACGCGGTATAGAAAAGCGTACAAGGTAACACACCTTCATTGTAAGAGCCATAGTGCAGCTCGTTCTCCACCTCATGCTGATGCATAATGTAATCGTAGATCGAGCATCGAAACACAAAAACAGGAACTTCGCTCGATGGTTGGGTAAGCCTTTCTCAACTTTGCTCTTCTCTTTAAATGTTTTTGTTATGAGGAAACTCATGATGGGTTGTCGCATTTATAGAGAGCAGTACCTGGATCTTATTTCAGCAGCAGACGCCATCATTGCCATGAGCAAAAACGCGCACGCAGTACAAAATAAACTTGACCGTATGGAGGCAGCTTGCGATGTGTCGACCATACGGAAAAAGGCCGCAGAAGCTAAAGCTGGTCAAAACGAAGAAGGACATGGTAAAAACGACTTATAAACGATCATAATGACAATGGAGCAATATCTGACGCTTTCCTTCTCTAGATCAAAAACGACGATATGTCTATGCACTAGCGTCGTTAATCAAATCACTAGCCGATGTTCCTGAACAAGTACTCTACTCCAAATTCATTTTACTTTGGCACAAAAGATATGTCATCGGGTATTTATGTACAGTCGTTAATGAGGTTTTTGTGAATAGATATGGCATGCACTGGAGAATCACAAGTATCTTCATGGTGCAAGGCTTTATGAGCTAGCAAGGATGGTGTATGAGTATTTGGATGTAGAAGCGGACGATGTCAATATCCAGGTAAGGAAAGATGAAGACGGTGAGGATACGAGTAGAATAGACTGACCATAATACAAACGATCCATCCATCCGTTCTATATGCTAGGCAGCATTTCCAGTTGTACAGCGACAATGGGATGCTGTAAGCTTCTTCCGACCACAAATTATACAAAAATCTATCTCGTTTCTACGCAACCCTGATCAAACGTCTGAAAACGTTGCAGAAACCCTCGTATGTCTGATGCTTCTTGGCGGTCAGACGTACTTTGAGACGATCGAAAACTTGTTGGATAGCCGCACCACTGCCATTACCGACATTGTTACCAAAAAGCAACAGCAACAACAACAACAACAGCAGCAGTTGAGATTGGCATACCAGCTCAAAGAAGTGATTCAGATCATTCATCGTACGCTTACCCATGTGTACGAAATATTCACTAAAAACCAACTTGTCACCAACTACGTCCAAGAACTCGAAAAGAACTTTATGTCCAAAAGTACAGCAGCCATTACGCGTGTTTTCTCACCTAGTACCAACGTGCACTTGTTGATGCGCTATTTACCAGAGAGCGTCCAAAACTATACGCCCAGCCTTGAAGCTGGCGAGCTCTTGTTACAACGCGACGTGCAGCAATTTGCTCAGTCATGGCTACAGAATATTGAAGAACAGTTACAAACGCACTTGCAACTGCTGCTGCAACAGATTGATAACCATGCAGTGCTCGTCGATGTCCGGTCACGTCTTTGGGATTTTTTGGATACGGATACTACCGCCTCACATCGTCGAAGTGGGATGTTCTTGGAGCGACGGTCAGCGTCATGGTCCGAGACATGTCAAGGGTTACTTGAGCAACAGTATTCTGTTTGGGAATCTTTACTTCGAGATGCATTCAATGCACGGGCAAAAGAACTGATTGACATAGACGCCAAAACGTTATCTGATCAACCACGTCAAGTTATCTGGAAAAGAATTGAGTCCAGAGGTATAAAAAAATGCGGCAATTCTAAAGATTGCTTCTTCTGTTTCCTGTCCTGTATAATATTTTGTTACAGAAATGCTAACATGACGTTTTCTTTTCTCGAACCTCATAGATGCTTTGTCAAGCCAATCACTTGATAGCACCTCAATTCCATTACCCCATTCATCCGCAACAAAGGCTATTGAAAAGTTTAAAAAGGCACTCAACGACGCATCGCAAGGTCGTAGCTCATTGATACAAGAATTTCAACAAGCTTTCGACGACATACTCCAAACGATGAGAACGGACTTGGAACATCATCAACAAAATACCGAAAAAGACCAATTTTATTCCAAAACGTAAGCATTTGATGATTATCATGGTATCTTCGGTTGTATACAGGGGATATTGATGTTCAAGAATCTATCTTTTCCGGTAGAGATACCAGCATGATCAGAAGCTACTTTCAGGATGCATGCTTTAATTCAATTACTGCATATACATCTGGGCTGAAAGAATTATTGATTGATCTGAAGGGCTGGACGGATGAAAAAGCTGGTAAACACTTTGTCTTCTTTATAAGCTATGATTTCAATTATGAATCATAACATCAAATCATAACATCAAGAATCAGTGTTTAATCATCTGTTTCGCTTTTCTCTGTAGCAAACAGAATGAGTATTTTCGTGGGTCTATTAGCAAGAACCATTGCAATTTCATCCAAGGAGTTACCCCGAGCATTGGCGTTAACCAAATCGGCAACACTAGAACTGAAAAGCGGCGTAAATAGAGGTAGATATCGAATTCGTATACTATAATTGTTCCTTTCTCCATCCTATGAATGACTACAAACACCTATTACTGCTACCATTATTAATTTTCGGATAGATCCGAAATATAAGAAACTACAAGACAGCTTGCTTGACATTTTTCATAATTCACATGAGAACTGGATTTCAACGGTGGCTAAAGAGTTTAGCAAAAGTTTGTCAGCAGGATTGGCAAGAACAAAATGGAACGATGAATGTTCTGCTGCACTCGTTTGGGCTGGTAAGGATACCTAAGATCTAAAAGGGACTAGGGGAAATATTACTAAGAAAGCATATATTGTATATGATTTCTAATTTATTGACTCAATTACGTAGATATCGCTGATGGTGATACCCGACTACCCATTCAGGCTACCAATGTCGTAGAACTTGCTGTGTATCAGGTCTGCGTCGAGTTACGACATGTAAATAGTATCTTATTAGACAAGGTGAGCCAATAAGATGACGTGTAAAAAGACCCTCTAGATATATAAACAAGGCAAAGAACGTTCTAATGCGGGGATATATAGTCCATCATGCAAGCATTGCGACAAGAGCTTGCAAAAGCAGCGATTAAATGTCTATCCGACTTTTACAACAGCACACAGCAAACCGACATTACTGAAAAGGGTGCAATCCAGCTAATCTTTGACATCCACTTCTTAAACCTGATTTTCCAAGACGGTGTCATGACCGACAGACTACGCAATCTTATGGAGAAAACCAAGGATTTTATTGATCCAATCAACTGGGCATCTTTCGAACCTCATTTCCTACCAAACGTGGAAAGATTCTGTCTTAAACAAACCTTATTGCTTGGTGTTTTGACACGTCCGAACAGAGAGGCATTCGAAAGGTAAATATAATAGCTAACAGGAGGGAAAGTGGGGTGGGGGAAAGAAACGCATAAACAACAAAAGATCTGGAAGTTATCTCGATTCCGACTAACTATTTGGTTTAGATCCCGGAAAGCGGCAAGTCAGCAGCAACAGCAACATAATGTGCTTGCGATTGCGACCCAGGCACCACGGTTCACTTTATTACCAATTGGACATTTGACTAGTACGATTAGAGCATAGAAAGGGAAGAATGGCAATAACCGCATTAATGGATCGTGTTGAAACTTGGACTAATAGACGCAGATTCATATTTAATAATAAACAAAAAGAGAAACTATATGGCACGAGTATATATATGTGACTAGATGTGCATACTGGAAGTGGAGAAAAAAGAATCTTCATTTCTTTCTCATTCAAGTCTTTCTATTGATACAGCACATGTTCAAATCTATTGTACTTTTAATGGCGGCAGCAACAATGATGCTGGGCAGTAACGCACAAGCAGCTGATCTTCCCCGTTTCCGATCCATTCACGAGCGTAAGCTATTTCCAACTTGATATTACCTACTTGTCCATACTTATGGATGATAAATAGCGTATATATAACGCGCGTTAATATATGAAAATTGCTGTAGTATGCTCTCAGAACTTGGTTTGCTCGGACGGCATGTATTGCCGACGATATAACGGTGCGATCTATGGAACCTGTGAAGACCCTGCTCATGTTTAAGCCTCGTTATAGCCAAAAATTGTCTCGCGTAATAAATCATTCCAAATACTCTCTTTTCACAATTACTCGTTGCTACGTTCTCGCGTAATAAAGTTGTTGCTGCACTGCTAATTAGCTGACGACAGGATTGTCTCGAGTTAAAGTAATCAACAGCAGCTCTTGCGCAGCAGCGAGAAGGTTGAAAGTCAGCGTGGGCTCAGTAGTGAAAAACAGTGGCTAACTCGCAATCCTCTTCTTCTACTTTTTTTACTTCATTGACTTGATAAAATGCAAAACCGTTCTGACCAGTTGGAAAATGGGGAATTGCCCGTAGCACAACCGCTTTTGTCTGGCCAACAGCAAACAAACAAAGACCACTCTCGTCTAAGATCGGCTTCTTCCCCTTCACGTTCGCCGGACCATCACGGTGGCAGACTCTCATCGGGGCTCAGTTACGTCCCACGTCCCCGAGAACTTGATTCGAGACGTGATGATTATTATCGTGGTGAGTCAAGTACTCGTGACCCTCATTATTATTACAGTGATGAGCTTCGCGACACGAGCCGCGGTGACCATTATGGCGGGCGTCGAGAATCAAGCCGTGATGACTACTATGAAAGACGTCGAGAATCAAGCCGTGGTGGTGACCGTCATGACGGGCGTCGAGAATCAAGCCGAGATGACTTTTACGAAAAACGTCGAGAATCAAGCCTGGATGACTATTATGGAAGAGGTCGAGAACCGAGACGTGATGATCCGTATGAAGAACGTCGAGAGCCTCGTCTTGCTTCCACCAGCTCTTCACTAATGCCGGCATCGGTTCCGTTCACATCTAATGCTGCTGTTGCTGCTGTTGCTGCTGCGCCTATGGCTACTACTAACACGACCATCACCACTGCTCCCCAACCTGCTTCAACACGAGGTACGTTTTCTTCCATTTTTTTTATAAAGGCAATTATCAAACTGATAACAATAGAATACGCAAATCACTGATGAATCATGTGTATAGGTATGACTGGCACGAATCTTATTCCTTTGGCGACTCGAAAAGCTCCAAAAACGATCGTTGACACTGGTAAAGTAATGCCAACAAAAAAAACAACAACAGTTTCAGCAGCAGCAACAACAACAGCGACAACAACATCAGTAACAGCAGCAGCAACGAATGAAACTGGTGAAAAGCGTGCTACACAGCCTAACGGCGCACAGGTATACATACACACTCACACACGCTTATTAAGCCTTGCCCACAAGTCTTGTTTAGACCTAGAGAAAAAAGCATTCTCCATTCTAACACACAACATACAAACAAACCCTTCAGCAAGCAGGAAGGAAAATGCAGCGTCTACAATCGGTTAGTCTATTGCTTTATCATTTTGCCTTTGCATTTGTCGCAAAATTCCTTTTACTTTTCTTAACTTGTATAACCAACCGTCATCTATCAATGAATGTAGTATCTCAACGGACCACCCGACCCCCCAGCTGATCTTGTTGTTTGGACCGGCGTGTCGGCACGTATGCACCGTCGTAATCTAGTAATGGATTACAGCGGCGCTTTTGCTTTGGTGTGGGAAAAAGGCGACTACGAAAACAGAGCACATTCCTTCAAAGGTCCAAACAAGTCGAATCTCTATGCAGAATTCTTGGTATGGAGGCTTGATTTTTTTACTGTGAAATATATCATGCTGACATGGTATTTTTTTATTCTCAATCTTTGTAGGCTGCTTACGAAGTATTGAAGTCGACGCCGAAGACAAAGACCATTCTAATCAAAACAACAAGCGCAGAGTTGATTAACGGTAAGGCAGCAGCCAAGACATTCCTAGAAGGAATGGGAGAGAAAGAGAGAGAGAAAAGGGCTTGTTACCAATACAGATATCATGTTTGAATTAAATTAGCGATCCAGAACAAAGTTGACACGACCTTCACAAGAGAGGTCGTGACGTTGCGAAGTGAGTTACGATGGGAAGTCAGGAACAGACCGGGTGTCTATTTTGTAAGTGCAAAGACTGCATAACACTGAATCTTTATAATCGATGTCCTTCTCTGAATTTGATCCAATTCTCGTGAATTTCTTTTATAGAAAAAAGTTCCTTCACGCTGTGGCCTTCCCGAAAACGACCTGGCGTGTGCAATGGCGGAGGAGGCGCGGAAAGACATAGAGTAAGAAAAGCAAACGCTACAAAAAGTACTCACTCATATTTTATTCGTTTCCTTCATTTATTTTACTTTCATCTTTAACAGGGAATCCAGACCACAGCCTTTAGCACAAGTCGATAGCACTGTTACCGGTAATTCTACCATGCAGCAAGCCCAGGCATTTTTACAGCAGCTAACCAAGGAAACTTGGGGCTCAACAAGCAACACTCAAGCAACTCAGCAGCAACAGCAACAAAAGCAACAGCAACAACAACAGCAAGCACTAATCGCTCAGAACAAAGCCGCTGACTCTGGACAAAGTTTGGAAACAGTTCTGCGCCAACGGGCACTTGCATCTATGCAAGCCGACAACACTGTTTCTCCTTTGTCATTCATGTCTTACTCCTCTTCTTTGGCGAGTGCCAAAACTGTTCGACCCTTTGTAGCTCCTCAAATTGCATCCTCGTCGGTCAACCAGCAACAAGACAGAGTGGATGAGGATGGTAGGTTGGCAAAGGCTAGAAAAACCAGTTACTCGGACACGGCGACAGCGCATCAACAGGTGGAATCGCATACGAGGGATCCACGATTACGAAAAAAAGCGCCAGCTTCACAACAAGCTCATGCTAGTACAAGTGCAGTGGTACCACCACTATCAGCACCAGGTGCTCAACCGTTGCAGCCACCACAAGCACCACAGGAACAACAGCAAATCAGGGCGCATCCGCAAACTCGTATGGCCGGCCGCCATCTCCAAATGGTGCAGAACATCATTCGACCTACACCTGAAACAAGAAATACGGTGAAAAACCGTGGCTTGTCTTCGGAGAGGTCGAATGATCAGCACGCAAAACCGACACCGCCATCGTCTTCACCGGCAAACAACACCTTTACAGCACCAGCGCAAGATGGAGAAAGTGACGAAGAATTTTTTGATGCACTGGATTATTGGGTTGGTCAGCATTATGAAGACTTGAAGAAAGACACAAAAGGCGGTAGTGAAAATAAGGCTGATGATGATGGCGAAGGAAAGGCAGACCCTTCATCCACATTGTCCTGGATATCCGACCTCTTATAAATTCATATAATGCTGGTCAGCATCACCACCACCACCACCACCACCATACCTTATGTGTCTTATATATAAAAAGCAACAATAAAAAAGAATATATATCGTGTACCATTGATTTATCTCATAATAGCATATTTCTTCCTGATTACTAGCAGCAATAGGAGATACATTTGTTCACTTGTATTGGTGTGTATCATAGGATAACTTGTTCCGCACAGTTTTTACTGGCCACATGTCTCAACAATCGTCTTATCTAGATGGATTGTCGTTTGCCTATTTTTGTAACGTATCAAATATAGCCACTTAATATAAGGCATACTTTCTTCGAATAAGGCTCCTTAGACTGCTAAGCTAGATAATGGTAGTAACAATGTAGACAGCATTTTCAATGCTTCTTCTGGCCCCATTACTGTTGCTACATGTTGTCTTTTTGGACTAACAATGCTTACGCTCCTTTAAGCGACCACACTGCTCCAGTTAACATTACAACACTGGCTTTGATTTCTGATCTAACCGTGCAGCAGATAGCCGAACATCAAGTGCACACTCCTATCAAGATCGTACATAGTGCAGCAACAAGACGGCTATGATAATGATGTAAAATGTTACATGTTCTATAGAGATAAAAGCGTACTGTATGTGATGGGGGAAAAAGGAAAATCACTAAAACTACCCAAAGTAGAAAACAAGTGTTTTTTTTTTGCCAATTGATGTGCTTTTGTTGCCTAGTGATGATAGATCGAAGTGTGGCGCTTATGTTATTTGTCATGGGAACCATCATCGTCTTCTCTGCAGCTGCGGACAAATGTAACAGGTACAACTGTATTGTTTTGTATAGAGTTAGTTATTCATACATTGCTTTACTAATGTAAATCCGACCTTGATTTTTTGCATTGGCATGCTTCTGTTCGTATGCACATACTACAGTCAACATGTATATGCGTCCAAGAGACAGAGAGAGAGAGAGCGACAGTAAGAAAGAGGAGAAAGAAAAAAGGCCGTTGCTTTTGCTGCATCCAATAATATGTTTTACGCCAAATTGCATATGTTAATGTAGAAGAAGCTATCTCTTTGACAGCACACAAGCAGCAGGTATTCGTGAAACTAGTAATAGCATAAAGTAAGTATAGTGTATTTAGCAAAACGTATATGTGAGGATGGGATGGTATATATACTCTATTGCTTATCGAACTGCATGGAAAAAAAATTCAAGCGGGATCTTCTCGGTCACGAGGGTAGGCGCGACAAGTAGAGAAACGCGGAAAAAGGTCGATGATGGTGCTTCTACTATTACGACAACGACACATGATATGATTTAAATGCATGGATTATCACAATGAAGGTGAAAACTGGTAATTTGAGCAGTAACCGATTATTAACAGCTTCCTACCACCCCTTCATTCGCACATTCTGCGCGCGCGTGTGTGTGTGTTATCTATTCGCCCGTAAGCAAGATTCTTTTACACTACACATAAAGAAATATAGCAGTAAGAAAGAGAGCGCAGCTAAAACTCGGGTATCATAAGGGATTTGGAATGATCGGAACTTGTGGAGTATTTGACAAGGGCACAAACACAGAGCGTGCCCCCGACCGGACAGACTTAATTCCGTCCCTCTTTCAATACGCCCAGATCCACCTCCCCCAACCCGAGGGAGGGGGTTTATAACGGAAGCAGATGCTGTCGTTACGTTTAGAGAACACTACATAGTATACGATGTATGTACGTACTACTGTGTATAGTTTGTTCACCTCCTTTTCTCTTATGACGCGGTCTACGTGAATGTTGATAATGCACGCGAAGAATAGTGCAGTATTAGCGAAATGTTATGGTGGATCTATATTTTTAGCCCAGTTCAAGCGGTTATCACCTTCCAAACAAACGACGAACGCCAGCAGCAAAACGGCGTCGGGGCCACCTCATCCATCATTGCGTCTAATCATTTCGGTTCAGCTCCACGGTGACCACTACCTCTGATTGAAAATTTTGGGTATTATCACTGTTGTGACATGGATTGGATTTCTTAATTATTGTTTTCAGCTTTGTTCGACATAAATCATATTGGCTGCTAGAGTAGATAAAGTGAATGGCCATTGGAACGATAGAGTGTCATTGATGAAAGAAGGAAGGACGTCAGTTCATTTTGTATCTTTAGTTAAACACGTTTAATTTTTGTTTGCTATTATTCGTTGTGCACCCCAACAAGACACGCTAATGCACTGTATTAAGCCTTCCTGTTCTGACAATATCGAATCTTTTTCTTCATTCCTTTACAATTGACAATGACACGTAGAATAGGGACAGGACAACTGCCAACCTCACTACTGCAACGATGTATTATATTTGCAGAGTGGCCTGATCTTTCTTTTTTTGTCCGTCTCTTTTTTGTGAATGTGAGCGCGTCGTTGTTCTGCCTGCGACTCGAGTATGACAGGACATGGAACTCAGATGTCACACCTTTGTGATCCGATAGTCGTATGTAGTACGATGCTGTTATATATAGAAGGAGTCCGAGCCAAAGCGAAGGAAAGAAGCGGCGAGGAAAAATTCGGTCCCGATCGACAGCCCATTATTCCATCATCATCAGGTTAGTTGCTTTTTCGACCATTGCGGATCTCCGTTTGATGTCTGCTCATTCCTCATCATACTCTATGTTTAGAAGAACTAGCCTAAAGTGTCAGCCAATGGCTCGAGGGAGTCATCATTATATCCGTATCTCCGAACCATTGGCCCATCCGGCCGATCGCCAAAACAAAACAATGGTCAATTCTTTTAATTTTGTAGAATAAATCACGTTCCTTGCTCTGGCATGATGTGCCAATTTTTAAGAGGAGCTTCTTTTTCTTTTTTTTCCCGCGGGGGGACGAAGAAAGATTATCAAGGAGGTAGAGTATAGTAGGAGACATGTCAGAGTGCTACATGAATATTCTTGTTGGCATCTCTCTCTCTCTCTCTGTTTCCAGCAGCAATGCAGGGTAACTTGGTCTTGAAAGACGCGTATATTTTGGGGGATGATGGAGAGAGCCTGGCCCAACAATCCATTGATTGACCCAAAAAGAAAAGGTTAGGTTAGACAAGCGTTTTTAATATAATGCGTTGGTGGCGGTGTTCTAGTGAATATACACAACGCCAAAAGAAGATTAGAGACAAACACATACAGTAGTTGCACAGAATATATAGCAAAAAGGCGAATTCAATACTGTATTACTTGGTGTAACAGAGTCGACCTTGTAAAAGGAAGTAATAGGTAAGAAAATAGAGAGTATATTATATAGTAAGTAGGGTTGTTGACGATGGGCTGTAATATATGATATAGATATTTTAAAGGGAGAATTAAGCAGAAAGAAGAGATAGAAGGATAAGAAGTGGTTAGGTAGAGGTAGTAAGTGAATTATAGAGAAGATATTATTAGTAAGTGAGCAAAAATTAGAGTGTGTCGTTTTGTTCATTGCCGCTGTTGTTGTCGTTCTCGTTTTCTTGTTGTTTCGCGTACAAATTGATGCTTAGGCTGTCGCTTGAACGGCAGGTGCTGTGGTTGTGGGTGCAGCAGCAGGAGGCGATGATGCTACTGGCTCTTCTTCCTTCTTGGTCTCTTCCTTGGGTGCCTCCGCAGCAGTCTCGGCAGGAGCAGCAGCTTCTTCAGCAGGCTTCTCTTGCTCGGTAATTGCAGCAGCGGCAGCAGCAGGAGCCTTTTCCTTCTTGTCCTTCTTGGTAGGCAAGCGAAGGAGCTTGGTCAAACGACGGCTCAAGTTGGTTGCAGTCGGGCCAGTAGATGTCTTCTTTTCTTCCTCTGGCTTGGATTCTGAACATGACACTAAGTGAGTTACACATGTTCACATGCAAGTGCCCGTTATCATTGAATACACACACATGGTCTCACAGCCCACAACCCGAAAGAATAACAATTTTCTGTTTCTTTGCACATACCTGTGGCAGCGGCAGGGGCAGCCTCTCCGGTGGTAGCTTCAGCAGCAGTCTCGGCAGCAGCAGCAGGAGTAGTCTCGCTGGCAGCAGCCGGAGTAGGGGTAGCAGCAGCTTCTTCCGAACCACTGCTAGGCGTCTTATCATCCTTCTTGTGGCTGAAGAACTTGTTCACAATGGTTGAGTGACGCTTGAGTTGGTCAATGACATTGTCCTTGTGTTCCTTCGGAGCAGCTTCTTTGGGTGCTTCCGAAGATTCGCCAGCAGCAGCAGCAGTAGCAGTAGTAGCAGCGGCAGGCTCTTCCTTGGCAGGTGCTGCTTCTTCCTTCTTGGGTGCTTCTTCAGCGGCAGCTATATTTAAAAGAGCATTGGGATGATGAGAATCATGCATGAAAGTTAAAAACAACAAAAAAGGGTAATAAAACGCTTTAAGATTAGGGTTACGAGACGAGAAACAAGTGTGTTTCGTGTGTGATACGGTACCTTCAGGCTCAGCGGCAGGAGCACTCGACGAGGCGGCAGCGTGTTCTTCCTTTCGCTCGGGACTCTAGAATAACCATTTAGAGTTAGCGTATGGATCGTCGAACAAAAAAGCGGCCATCCAAAAAGAAGATTTGGGTAGCACAGGCTATGCCGAACTGGATGATGACATGGAAAATAGAAACTCCGCCCCTTCTATCACCAACTCATCATCACTCAAAGAGAAAAAAGAAAAGATGGCGCTTAGATTACCTTGCTGCGGTTAAAGAGGCCATTGATGTTCAAGAAGCGTGATCGTCTCTTTTCTTCAGGCTTGACAGGTTGCTCTTCTGTCTTTGCTGCCTCACCTTCAGCAGCAGCAGCGGGTTGTTCAGCTTCAGCAGCAGGAGCAGTAGCACTAGTAGTAGCTGCAGTGGCAGGTGTAGCTTCAGCATCGGTCTTTGCAGGCTCTTCAGTGACAGCAGCAGCAGCAACAGGCGAAGATGGCTGCTCTACTGCTTCATCCTTTTCTTTGGAAGAGTGATCCTTCTTATCCGAAAATTGCTTCTTGGCCTTGTTCCAGACCATCGACAGGCGCTTCGAGGTGCTGGATCGAGAGACAGTAGGCACAGGCTTTTCTTCTTTGGAAGCAGAAGCAGCGGCCTCTTCGACGGCGGCAGGCTTATCAGCAGATGCAGATGCTTCTTCAGGACTGGCTTCTCCGGCAGGCTTGTCATCTGCAGCAGCAGCAGCGGCAGCAGCAGTAGCAGGAGCGGTGGCCTCCTTGGGAGTTTCCTCAGCCGTGGTGGTGGTGGTGGTGACCTTGGATTCCTCAGCGGGAGGGGCAGCGGCGGGTTGTTCAGTTGTAGGCTTGGTGGCGTCAGTCATTATTAGGTTATTATCAGATATGGTAGAGATAGTAGTGGTAGTAGTAGTGATAGTAGTAGATGGAAGAAGTACTGGCTACAGAGTACTTGAGAGAGATGATGTGTGAAAAAAGAAGAAAAGGAGAACAGGAAATGAAAATGCGTAGTAGGTGCCATTTTATATTCGGATCACGATTCGATCAGCTGACAAATGATATAGAAAACTTGCTGTGGCAGCCTCACGTGTGTACCACCTACCTACCTACACGCTTTGCTCTTTCCACCCACTACCCAACCACCTTCCTCCCCCGAAAGAAAAAGTGACACGAAAAGCAACTCGGGTGCAAAACAATAAAAAGATGTGTGGCCCACACGCCCAAACAACAGCAGCAGCAGCACATTGCAATCAAGTGTTTATATTGGCTACGGCGTTAATAACATATGTGGCTATTTCACAGCAGCCCAAAATAGATACTTGTCCTTTCTTCCGTTACCTTCTTCCTCTTCTTCTTCGCAACACATGTAACAGCACGCACGCACTTATATGCATCAGATAGCGTTGTCTTCTTCTTGATCTTCTTGTGTCCACGCCCACAGACAACTCCCCTCACTCCGTTTATTTTGCTTTAAAATCATGATGAAACGTCTTCGGTATAATTGGCAGGAAACATGCCTTTCCGGGTCCCTATCTCGCCTTCCCACCACGCTTGACGATCGATTTTCCGTTGAGTCACAATGATATAATCGCCCTCGGAAAACGTCAGATCGCCCGGCTGTTCGCCACTAAAGTTGTATTTTGCCACCACCACCGTGGACTCTCCTTGCTGTTGATCGAATCCAGAAGGATTCTTTTTGGTATCGCTTGCGTAAAAATGCTCGTAACCTGGTGACGCAGTGTACCCAGGCGCTGTTGCTGCTGCATTGCTACTGTTGTCGCTTGCAGCTGCTGCTACTGGTTCTGGCTGGTAACCTCCTGACGATGACGGGGATGTGGATGCGCCTTGTTTCACATCACCGGTCGCTGTCGATGCATACATGTTTGGATTGTTCGAAGGTTCGTATGGAGGTGGCGGTTCATCAAAGGAAACATGCTGCTGCTGCTGCTGCTGCTGTTGTTGTCCTTCTGGTGGCTTTTGAAAGCTAGAACGTCGCCATGCGTCGTTTGTACCTGTTGCTGCTGCTGCTGCTGCTGCTGCTCCGTTACCAACTCCGGGAATGTTATTGTATCGTGGAGAGTAAGGTGAAGAGGAATGATAAGGCGATGAAGGGAGTTGCTGTTGTTGTTGTTGTTGTTGTTGCTGTTGTTGCTGTTGTTGCTGTGATGGTGGTACAGGCAAGGGTGGACCCTTCTTTGGAGCAAAGGGCATGCCGGGTCGCGGACCTGCGCCAAGCGATGCCAAAATATCGTACAACCGCTGAGCTTGAGGAGGTCGAGGCACTCCACCTGTCAAAATCTCTCGTGCACCAATACTTCTTCCGTAAAACGCCGCGTTTGTGTTCACGCGTTCGGATATCTTGGAACCTTCAAACGAGTACCCTGTAAACACGGCACTACTAGTCAATATTTGTTTATTTACCACCACCGCTCAGCTCCCACCCAACACACACATGAAGAAAAGGCACAAGCTGGTTTCTATTTTTACCTGCAAATAAACCTTTGGATGCACTACAGTAGACACCACACACACGCACATGACATTTAAAGAGAGCACCGTGTGAGCTTTCTGCAGCATCGTCCCCATTGTTATGCTTATTCACCCGCCCAACCATGGTATGATAACTACTTTTCTTCCTTCCTTCCTTCCTTCCTTTCTTACCTATAAGCATAGGTCGCAGAGATATACTGGCCACTTGATGCGGCTGCTGACACATTGGCAGCGCGACCCAAAGGACCTGCACTCACAGACACGTTGGCGCCCAGCTGAAGTTGACCTCCGCCATCGAAAAATGACTTGACTGCAGCTCGATAGTTCATGACGATGATCGAGTCGATCACTTCAACGCCTGCTTGGTGTCCAAATCCCTAGTAGTGTCCCAATTCGAAAGGAGTTAGCCAATGGCTAGCGACAGGGTGATTTAATTCGTATACGTCACAAGACAAAAAATCCTCTTGCTATCGAATGAACGTACCAATGCTCCCATAGAAATTCCAGAAGGCGCGGACCAACCTTTTTGACGTTGCTCAAAAGTGGTTAAGACACATCATAACGACCATCGAACATTGTATTGGGCAGTCGGTCGGTCACCCGCTGCATTTCAAACCTTCCCCAAAACCCAAGCAGCCAACCAGCCCTCCCCCTCCCCCACCCCGGTAAGCATTTTCTACACTTACTTCCATCTGGTAACCTGGAAGACAATAGAGAAAAAAATAACCAAAGAATACCATCCCGTATTTAGACACTCTCACTTGTAATAATAGGTATCCCCACATCCAATAGTGTCCTTCGCCTGCTTACCGTGCAATGATAATTCCCGTGCCTTTCTTGGCCGATACCATAAACCCTCCTCGATACATTCGAATAAAGACGAGTCCATGCGCATTAGCAAGAACACTTTGAGGAATGAGCATTTTCACATCGCGTTTGCTTGGATCTATTACCATTTCATTCGTTCAATTAGCAACCTTTCGTTTCCTTCCAGATCAACCCTTCCAAATCAGACCCAACAAGTAAAGCAATACTCAATCTTGCATAACAAAGAGGACTGACCTGTAAACAGTTCGAGAATTTGTATGGCGCGAGCAGTGTCCCCTTTTACATAATAACAATATGCGTCAGTTTCCAATGCATAAACAAAGACGTGTACCGTACTTTACCTTGCAGTTCTTGAGCTGTTCTTGTTACCATTGTTGTTTTGCTTTGCTTTTGCTATTGTTTGTAGTTGATTAGAAAAATAGAAAAAAAAAAGACAAGAACAAGAAGGAGGGTTTTTTATGTGCATGATTTCATTTATCGGGATCCAACTTTTTGATGGGCACACTCACACACTTGGCGCAGTCACCCTCCAACCTTCTTTTTTTCCACCATGGAAGCTCTCTCTCTCGCTCTCTTGTTGCCAAGACCTGTCCTCCTCCCCTACAACTCACTCTTAAAAGGGTGAAAAATGGCCACGAACAGACCGGGATATCGTGATTCCAAAACCCCGCGCGCCGTCAAAGTCTATTCCATTGCTCAAGAGTCGCGTTACCTCGTTTACGAAAACATTCCAGCTCTAGGTCTAGTCGACAATCTCACTGCTCGATGCCAATTTTTTGGATCTGTGCAGCAACACGGCATGCTCGACAGTCATGCTGCTTCAGACGAATTCCACGATGTCGTCTGGGTTGCATTTGCAACGGTCATGAGTGCTCGTAAAGCTAAGCGGACGATGGACGATAGACCGTTTTTTGCCAACGTGTTGCGGGTTTCTTATGCACCAGAATTTGAGACTGTGGAGGATTTTCGAAATAAACTCCAGGAACGCCACAGATCAGCACCCTCCTCCTTGGCTTTGCAACAACAACGGCTACAGAAAAACCCTCGGTTAAAAGATCAGCGATCTATTATTACTGCTGCTGCTGCCACCCTGGATACAAAAGCTGTGCAACCGACGATCGGCCCTCTTCCTTACGCTGCTTCCCAGTCATCACCACCCAATGCTCAGCAAGCCAAGCAAAAGCGAAGGCGGATATAAAAATAACTTTCCCTTTAGACTTAAAACATCGTATTGTTTTTTTTAAGTTAAGGTTTCTATCTCAAACATGGCTTTTATATGTGCATTCACCAGCCACGACGTTCGTGGAAGAAGGGGAAAAGGAGCAGCTTCGTCCGGGATCATGGATACGTGCTGTTTCACAAAGAACTTTCTAATTATATATATCACCTCAGAATCCACTATTTGAAATCAGTGCTGTAAATACAATTCCAAGTTACGGAGAAGAAAACGATGTGCGACATGCACTTTCCAAAGTCAAATCAAACACGAACAGCAGAAACCATTTAGAGTACGTTCATCGTCGTTGCGGCGTACTGTATAAAGTGAAGATGAGGCCTGTTCATGTTGCTCATACATAAATATGCATTGACTTTAACAAGTGGTTGATTGAGCTACATAGCAGTGGCCTATTAGACAATCAAATCAAAAATTCTATGGTTCAAAAATACAGTGCCCACCCGATAACTTGATACTTTATAACTTGATAATTCGACTTTTCATGTCACCGTTCTGGTGTGCAGTAAAAACTCGATAACTCAAAAACTTGATACGTGATCACTTTTACATATTTTTTTTTGAGTTATCAAGTACTGCTAAAACTATAACTGAAAATTTGATTGGCTAAAAAAATCGGTATTTGGAGCTCATCGTGTGTTTTCTAGATATTCTGTAGTGAGCATTCTGATGCGCCTTTTAGTGCACCCGAGTATTACAGCGTCTTGCTCATCTACAACTACTAGACCGCCAACAATAGCATTTCCGATGGCTGTTGGAGAGCAAAGGCGATACTTGCTCGTCAAGTTTATCGCTATATATGCTGTTTTCATCAGCGTGATCGACATCCGATGAGCTGCTGGAAGCTTGTTGCAAAACTTCTTTTCCTATAGGAAATAACAGTGGTTAGTTTATTGTTATCCACACTGCCAATACCGACTCAAATATGTACTCACCTTTGTCCTGCCAGCGCGCGTTGAGACTTTCACCAGGCACTGCTAATAACTCTCAAGTCAGTGTCAATGACCGCAATAAAGCATTTCTTGAGGAGCAAGTCCAATCGGAAATGACAAGACATCTCGAGAACTGACAGAAAACACAAGAAACATGTATCTTTTGAGCAGGCGCATTGGAAGGTGTGTTGTTTAGTAGTTAGAGCGCTAGAGAATTCAAAGAAAGCATGTCAACCTCAGTAACACTAACTTTTTGTTTGTTGTTATTTGTGTATTCTTTTAAGTCGTGGTGCAACAAACTAGAGTTTAGAGATGGCGACACCGTCTTTGAAACCAAACTTGTTGCTTTCTTGAAAGAAATAGTGGCCAATGGTAATATTAAAAACAAGAAAGATAAGCTCCCAGACGGCAAATCCAAGCGCTTGGGTAAAGAAGCACTACATGCTTATGCCAAAGCAGTTATAGCATTACAAGCTGTGCAAGCCAGTGTCCTTGGAAATACGTACCCACCAGCCTGAGGAACGATTGTCAAAACTTCTTGAGCGATTATGACCGGGAAAATGCAGTGCGTAAAAGAAAAGAATACTGTACGAGGACCGTGGCATCGACACACTTAACGACGGATATATGTTGAATGAGCTGAAGCTCGTTTCGCGCTATCAAATTGGACGTAATACGCCTCATCATTTGCGCAACCGACTGGATTTTTTGCTCGGCCATGCGATACTAGGTCGAGGCGAGACCAAGCGTATTATGCAGCTGCCAGATTTGTTCTGTACCGAGTTCAAGGATGAAGGCCCGACCAAGTGTATTGCTCTGGTTATCACTATGAATAAGGGCAAGACCAATCAGCATTGAAGGGTCGAGTACGGAGCTGCCATCAGATACCGCTGTGCAGAAGTTTGTCCAATTGGAGCTTTGGCATTCCACCTTTTTTGCGTTCCCCGATTTTACGTCACGTCGACATTGGTACGACATTCACGTCTTGAAGGGTGCCAACCGTATGCAAGCTATAACGTACAATACACAAAGAGATGGATATCAGGAAGCGCTCCGAGCTGTCGGTATTCGATCCAGCAAAATTACGCACATCAACCGCGGTAGTGCTCTGAGGTCGATTGCTGAACAGAATGTTTCTGACAGTGACCAACGCAGAATTGGACGTTGGGGCTCGGACAAGATGATCGGATGCTACTTGACAAGCCTTCCGAAGCCGGCAATTCGTGCTTTAGCTGGCTTCTATGCCCAAAAAGCAGGTGCATTTTGGTTACCGCGGGCCAAAATCGATCCGCCACAGAGCTTGCAACAAAAAGTTTTCCCAGATATTGAATACTGGGAAAGCAAGTTCGAGACGAGGGCTGTCCAAAACGATCTCGCAGGTCCAAACTTTTTGGGATTCTTGAAGTATTTGAGGATCGTTTTCATTCAGGTATATAGCTACTATTTATTATATTGTAAAGCACAACTTCGAGGCGAGCTTCCTAAAGTATTTATGGCAACTGGCGATGTGCTTCCAATGGAAACTTCATCTTTGGCATCGCCGTCACCGCCTCCACTAAGCTATAAGCTTAACAGAAAGCTTAGAACTGTAACCGATGTCTGGCGCGAGTACACCATTGGAATTGCTGGGCAGCCTTCAGTTCAGTCTCTGGAAGAAACGTACCGCACGCAATGGAGAAAGGATCCCACGGAGTCGAGGTTTTTCTGCCGAAGAAAATTGATATATGAAGAAGTCGAGCGGATGGCACAAGAAAGCCATATATCGACCACCGCTGCTGCAAGCCAGTTGGAAGAAGAACGTCGTGATCTTGGTATCAGCATAGACAAATTAGGAAAAGAGATAAAGCGTCGTAGAACCGAGGAGTAAAATAGATATATGCAAACATAAAAGAATAAGTTGTTACCTATAATAAAAGTTTTGTAAATTGAGAAACACATAATACGTGCAAAAGAAGGATCAGTACCATAAGAACGGGTTTACTGACAATGCCTCCTCTACCTAAGTTGGGAAGTAACTTTGCATGAAAAGCTTTAATTTCTTTTTGTACTAGTCTTTTCCTCTTTGGTTGTTAGAGAACAGTCCGCACATATTAGACCATCCTTAGAAGTAGTTTTTGAGACATAGCCTAACATAATAGGGATAAAACCAACATAGCATAAGCTCATAAATAAATGGAAACATTTTCGATATAGAAGACCACTTAAAGAATTAATGTGACATATTTCGTAGTAAATACGATCGTTAGAGACATACGATATTTGTAAAATGAAGTTGAGTACTGGTCAAGTGCATCACGTTGTGCACTGTAGCATGCAAGCCAAAATTACCGGAAGTGTTATCCTCCCAGTAAGGAGGATAAAGGTACCCGACGAAGGGTTATGGTGACGCATCAAAGTTGAGAGGCTAAATCGATATGAAGCCATTGCGCTCAATTTAATGGTTACACTGCTCGAAAGAAAGAGTATGTAGCAATTTGAGGTATTCTACGTTAATATTTTCCTGGGACAAAAGACTTTATATAAGTTTAGTTGTATGTCTTGGTTGTTTGATGGACCAAACTAAGCTCCTGCCTCTCAATGTGACACTTGATTATACAGACGTGGAATATTTTGCGTAAAAAAGGTACATCTCGGATTTTGCGTATGACTATTGCAATAGCGCTATCATCGACAGTGACGATCATCAAGTCATCGCTGAAAGATCAATTCTCTGACGCGTTCGTTCTGTGTGATTAGTTTTAAAGTTATAAAAACCAGTTGATGTGGTCGTTTTTCTAAGTACAGCAACTCAGGAACAAAAAAAACACCTCTAATTTTCAGCGTGGGTCTTAAGCTCAGCCAAATTGTTCAGACTCACTGTGGCAAATTGAAATACCCACACTGTATTTGCTGCTATGCAGTACCCAAGGGCATCACGTGTCCACAAACAGGCCTTTGCTTAGCACAACCTGCTGGAAGATAGAACACCAGTCATCAGTATCAATCACAACTGCAGAGATTCCTGGAATGAAACAGGAAAATCAATTTTCCGCTGTCGGCAACAAATGGGAAAAGATATAGAAATCGGGTAAGACATTATTAGTGCCTTTTTTCCTTGCGTTTCTCAAAGCATACATCGCTTGTACGACTCCTATGGTTTAAATGATGAATCCATCTGTAATTCGACGTCCATTTCATTCCACCGCCTTTGCTTTGAAAAGAAAAAATCATTACGACGTTCTCAACGTTCATCGCAATGCCGACAAACGAGTCATTAAAAAGCAATACTATCGATTATCGAAACAATACCATCCTGATCTCAATCCAAACAACACAGACGCCCATGCTAAATTTCTCGAGGTCAACGAAGCTTATGCAGTGCTAGGCAACGAAGCAAGTCGTCGACGGTATGATTCTGCCGTGGACTATGGTGATGGTAGTGATTCGGCCACGTCGTCTTACTATGGTAGCAACGCTTCAGCTGTCTACAATGCGGCTTTCCGCACAGGGCCTTCGCAATCGTGGCATGGCCGTGCACGACGACGAGAGAACACCGGATCAGCGAGTGCACGCGCACAAGCAGAAGGCATGAAAGGAGCTAAAACGGGTAGTACTTTTAATTATCGAGAACATTATGCACGACACTACGAAAATGAAGAAGTGCGCCGGCAGCAGCGCGTTTCACAAGCAGCCGAGCGGCGACGGGCGGCTGGATTGGACGAAGACGGACATCCACATCATCACAGTCGAATCGATACAATCTGGTCGCGCTTATGGCGTTTAGGTGCTGTTCTTATTGGCATTACCTACGCCCAACAAAAGTGGAAGCAAAACACAAAGGGCGAACACAAGCTAGAAGCACGACGATAGACCATGTCTTCATGATTCCCTCCTGACACCTCTCAGTTCTTATCATCACCACATTCACCATGATTAAATCACACAATATGTAGATAAAAAATGTATATCCTCACTCTTCTTTCGCACTCCCATTCTCACATCATTTTATCCTCTTGTTAAATTGACCACCTTCTATCTCCAATCCGCTACATTTCAATAGAATTTGTTTTTTTTAACCATCTGCAACATTGTTTGGGAAACCGTTTAGTGGAAATAAGGTTGTAAAGCACTAGTAAGAATTAACCGCATGCTGGCTCTAATGCAATATCGCGGTCGTCAGCAATACTTGATGCATATTGGTAATCATCAAATATGTCGATATCGTCGTACTGAACACGCTCTTTCCTCCGATTTCGACCGCCCTTCAACGGTCCTTGCTTGCCAACAAATTTAGGTGCTTCAAGACCCTTCAAAAGAGGGTTATTCGCATATGTACGCGCAGATCCGTCGTTTTCTTTATGCTGCTGCATGTCTTTCTGTGATCTGTTGGCAGCAGGTAAATCTTCTGGCTCTGATTCTTCATCTGAGGACGAATCGGCTTTGTCCAGGACAACTTGGCGTGATTGAACGTCGATAGTCATAACACGTCGTCTAGATTGGTCCGTTGACCGCATAAGACGCCTCATGTTTGATTGATTCTTTTTCATTTCCAATGCGCGTTCCTGAGGTGTAAGCCATGGGTTCAGTTGGTCGGTTGGTAATGTGAAGTCAGTCGCTTGATCAATAACAGTCGTCCGTTTCGCACTGCTCCGTTGGAACTCGAGTAGCTTTTCCTTATGTGCTTCTGCATGCTGTCGGTTTTGCTCTTCTTGGTCGTGAGTGAATGTTGGTTCCTCATATGCATTTTGAGGAATTATCCTACCACTGACTTTGGCAGCATAACCAACAGATTGTGTTACCGATGCTTTGCTTCGCTTTTTACTTGATTGTTGTTGTGCATTGATTCGCTGTTTTTCTTCAGTGCGTTTGCGCTTGGCTTCTGCAATGAGTGCTACTTGTTGTTCTTTTGAGAGAACAGGAGTGCCGCAGAATGTACATGGGCCCGTCCCTTCAACAGTACATATAATCTTGCCACAATTTAAGCAGTTGGGCGCGATCGTCAAAAGCTGATGTTTTGTGGCTAAGAACGTTTGAATTAATAGCCTGCCCATGCATTATATACTCGATAGGAGAGCAGATAAAAATCAATTTGTTGTATCGCCATACCTTGGCATTGACATGGTCGTCGTTCGCCATTCTCTTCTGTAGATGCCTTGATGTGGAGTTCTTTCAAAGCTGCTTCGAGCGTCATTTCATTCTTCTTTTTCTTTTTAGATTCAGTTGTAGTAGAGTTGAATTTGCTCTTGTTATTCTTTTTGGCACCACCACTGCCGGTTTTTAGTAAAAATAACATCTGCATTAATCGAACAAGCACAAGTATGATTTGCTGTTATGCAGGTCTTACCCTGAATAGTAGTCGCCCTGGGTATCCTTCTTCATGTACACATTAATATTGGCAGGCCATTCAGTTTCATTGTGGTATTGATCGGCTGGAAGGGTTGGAAACAGTTCGTTCTGCTGCTGCTGCTTTTGCTGCGGCTGTTGTGGTTTCTGCTGCGGACTGGAACTACTTGTTGCAGTAGCAGTAGCAGCTTTTTTGCCAGTGTTTCTGTTGAAGCGACGTGTTGAAAACTCTTGGATAAAAGCAAGTGCGTCTTCGTTGGTACCGAGCATATCCTAAATTCATTTCGCCAATATTTGAGTAAACAAGTAGATTTCTGTCAGGAGATTTTCGTTCTTTTCTCTGCTCAAAAGATACACTATTGGTGGGAATATAGTGGAGGCTGGAAATGTCAAAACTGTACCATCAAGTGGTCGCGCAGTGCATCGGGCGATTCAAAAGAAAACAAGTATGGAAGAACTTGCGTTTTCAAAGTCTCATCGTCAATGCCGAGAAATTGACTTAATTCATTCACTGCCCAGGTTTCGAGCTCCATTCTATTATCGTTGAGTGGAGACAATACGTTTTGGGAAAAGTTAAGAGAAGCTGCTTAAATCCAAAACGTCGGAACCGCAGTGAATGACCACACAGCAATTTCTCTAAAAGTCCGTCCGGTTCGGCTGCGGCAATCGGGCAATATCACTTGGGGGCAGCGGCCACTGTAGGAACCTTCTTTCCGATAAACCATATAAGCAACCATGGGTACGTTGGAGTATATGAGATATATTACGGGATGAATGTGGAATGGTGAAGCACCAAAATGGATGGATGGAAATGCGGATGGATAGATGAATGATCGAAATGGATGGATACGTGTTCGAAAAGCGTTTAGACAGAGGGACATATACACACAATGTCGGAATGGGTTCAGTGTCAGGTTTTTATTGTGAATTAACAATTTTTCTACATTCTCTTACAGGTAAGGGACAACCTAGAGGTTTGAATGCCGCCCGTAAGCTTCGCATTGACCGTCGCGAGCAACGTTGGGCTGACAAGCAGTACAAGAAGCGTGCTCTCGGCACCGCTTTCCGTTCTTCGCCATTTGCTGGTGCTTCGCACGCTAAGGGCATTGTCCTTGAAAAGATGTAAGAACTCTTTTATAAAACGTGTGCATATGAAGAAGAAGCGCGGACAATTTTACGCTGCTCAAGGAAGGAAGGAGATCAGAGATTTTTGAAAATTGACGCATAATGTAATTTTATCGTAATAGTGGTGTCGAAGCCAAGCAGCCTAACTCTGCCATTCGTAAGTGTGTCCGTGTTCAGCTTATCAAGAACGGCAAGAAGGTCACTGCTTTCGTTCCCAACGACGGTTGCTTGAACTACGTCGACGAAAACGATGAAGTGCTTATTGCCGGTTTCGGTCGTAAGGGTCGTGCCATTGGTGATATTCCTGGTGTCCGTTTCAAGGTCGTCAAGGTCGCCGGTGTCTCGCTTCTTGCTTTGTACAAGGAGAAGAAGGAAAAGCCCAGATCATAAATGTCTTTCTTTTGTACGCTCTTATGCAATAAAGTATTCTCTCTCACACACTCTCTTTTTTGCAGTCGACATATTTTCTTGTATTGTTCTTTCTGGCAACTCGTCACTTTGTTTAATATGCGTATGTACGCATTTGGGAAGGATAGGATGCAGTAAGGAGGGCTATACATGCAGAAAACATATTTTTGTTAGTCTGGCTTTGGGAGAAGGTTTAGTTTGGTCTATGTAAATCGGTGCTATGGCTTAGGATTGAGTAGGATTAGGCTAACTTTTGGTTGTCAAGGTGCTCCACATAATCTAATTAGTTATGGCTTTTGGGTTACTATTCGATTAGAACTTCAAGGAGAGATTGTGGCGCATCAATTAAAACGGTACCATTGTTTTTATTATTATTTTTTGGCCATCCGTGATAGCATGTTGGATGACAACACTATCAATTTCTTTGGGCGAACCCTTGGACTTTTAAAATGATATGCGAACATGTTGTCTGCGAAATAGTGGCATATGATGAGCTGTATGTCTTGACCAAGCTAGCTCAGTGTAAAATATAGGGTAAACATTCTCCAATCCATTTTGTGTTAATTGTGCTACTTTCTATAGTAAATTGATTCACGAAATCTCTATTTGTACTTCTTGTCCAAATCTCGTTATGGGCTAAATGTATGTACAATCAACTTGAAACGATATACGCTGTGTGATATCATTTGCAGCTGTCATCATACACATAAATTAGAAGGATCCACGATATTAGGCGAAACCTCGTCTGTCATCCGTAGACAAAAGGTTCAACTTCAGTTTCCTAACTATATAAATGTAGGTATCGTATTCAAGGCATTTGTACGCAAAAGCTGATCAAAAGAAACAAGGGCAATCCAAGGCCGAAATCAACTGTGTGCGCCGCGGTAGAGTCCTGGAATAGAAAGTATCTACTGTACCAACGAGATACATTTTCAGGACCAATACGATCAACATGATTCAAGTTTTTGAGCAAAGCTGTATTATTTTTTTAATGTATGTATGGCTTCGACGCGTTTAATTCGTATGCATCGGTTGAGCCTTCAGTCGAACGCGCATAAAAATAAAGTTTGTTTGTAAGAAATGCTGGCGGCCAAAGATTATGTTTATATTACTGCTTTTCTTTTCAAAGAAGAGAAATATAAGAGAGGATCACAAAGGCTACTACCGATTAATCAATCACTTGGTTGTTCTCTTAGCCAGACAAAACCGGGCGTTGATGAGTTTACGATGAAAGGCATTTAAAAGCACAAGCAACAACAGAAAAAGTGTTAATCTTGAATACCGGCAACAAAGACAAATGGTAAGTGGATCAACCATATATATAAAAAACTAGCCGAGAATCAATAACAGCATTCTCAAGAGCGAGAGCGGTGTGAACGGACATCATCATTTCTGAAACTTTTCAATTCTGAAATGTAAAACATCATATTGATCCATATATATAAGATCATGCTGACGCTTACCGGGTGATTCGATTCGCTACATATGATATAAGCAGGGCTAAACAATAAGAATAGCGATCGGTTATGCTAATAGGGTGTTTATTTTATTATACGCTACTTCTTCGTATATGACATACGGTGTTGTTACTATCCTACAATATATACTCTAAAGGAAAGTTTGTCTTATCAGTAATATGAAAGATTACGTCAGGGGAAGATAACAAAAACTTTGATCGGCATTCTCCAAGTAATCGGTCTTTTATAGCAAATACAGTACTGATGTTCTTGCCCGTCGTCCCCGGCAAAAGTTGAGAAAAAATAATACCGTATGTACGACAGTGGAAGCGATACTGCATTGTGATCCGGTATTAATAACAATGAGCATGGTCTATGTTGGTGTGACATTTGGTACATGACGAAAAGGCGCGTGATATAGCATGATAATAAAGCTGCTAGTGCATAAAATGCAGAGAAAACCCTCATCTCTAAAACCTACTATACATGTATGTACACAGTGGTTCAATATGAAACCAAGAGGACCCTTTGAAAGTGTTTATTTTTGAAATATACAATGTAGTACTGTAGCACGAGATCATCATAGCCTTCTTTTCCATCAAGGTGCAATATAAAAAGTTTGTGTCGCTCATACAGATATGCTTTGTTATTTTCCCTAGTAAAGAGTGATGTTCTTCATGTTTGAAATTTCTCTAATGTTGAGCCCGGTTTGTTCCGTCAACAATATAAGCGACAGGGTCGAGATCACACGTGCATTGCATTTTTGTCACTGCTGCTTTGGTACTTGGGTCACTTTTCTTAACATACTATACAAGTCTCTTAGTGTTGTACGAAAAGTAGAGCATCATCGGAAATCTCTTCAGTAACTCACAATACAATTAATCGTTAATTGATTAGCTAAAAGTATACACAGTGGTCCTCGTTTAATTTCACTCTCAATAAAATAAACCCTCGGTTATTTCAACTTTTTTCTATATCCCCTTTAAGCATAGAACACTGCTTGAATCACCCTCGTTTTGTGTCAACCCTCAGTAGTTTTAACACTTTATAGAGCCCCTTTGAGGTTAAAATTAAACAGGGAACCACTGTATACAAATATAATATCGGTATAATTCCATTTACATAAGCTCTGACAGCTCGTTCTGAGCGGGTGTTTTTCCATACTGTTTAAGTAGTACCACGTACTTACTCTTTGAAATTAAAGAGCAAATGTATAGAGACCTTTTCTCTTTCATTAGAACACGCAGAAAAGGTTTCGCCATTTATTATCTATCATACTGCAAAGTCATCAAGATTTAATTCGTGTTACTTTTGGTGGTTTGATATATAGCATAAATTGATGTATGTAATACAGAAGGGGATGATAATGGGAAAGAGAAGAAAAGGAAGTCATTTGATCGATAAAGGAGAGTGTTATCATATGCATGTGCTGCTAATAGACAAAAATCAAGAGCCATTATTATAGAGATAATAGACAAACAATAAAGAAAAAAATGGGTAATAGCATTAGCAGTACTACTACTCCTTCGTAGTTATGCTTTGTGATTGTTTATTAGAAAACGCGAAGGAACTTAAATGCCAGTAACAAAAGCACAAACAATTGCAAAGAAGGAACCAAATGAACCGGAGCCATGCTGTCAAGCGATGCATCCCCAGAGGCGCTTGCATTGCTTGTTCCAGCAGCTCCTGCACTTGTGGATGACGACGACGAAGCAGTTGTATTCGAAGATGAGATGGTAGGGTTAGCCTCGGTCGAGTACACCCACGACGTTTCCCAGTAAGGCTGTGAGATGTTCATGCATTCTTGTACGGTAACGACATTAAACGTCTGTTGGAGCGTGGGCAACCATTTTTCAGCCATGGAGACAGTGGAGTTATTCAATTCGTGCTCAAGAATAATGTGGCCTTGTTGGTTGTCAGTACCGTTCTTGCGAGCCTCAACCCAACCTTCAAAGTAGCCATCGACTGTATCGGGGCTCAAGCTGCCTCCGCCATCACCAGGCATATCCCAATCGTTTGTGTCCTGTTTTTGTTGTTGTAAATAGTAATGATGAGATTCGAGATAAAGAAGAAGAGAGAAAAGATATAAAATATTGATCATTGATTCTTCTTTACCTCGTCCCAAATGATGGTACGCATACCCATCTGCCATGCAATAGCGCGGACACGGTCATCAACATCGCCATAGGGAGCTATAGTAGTAGTAGTAGTGGTTGCGGTAGCAATGAGTAAAATTGGATTAGCACGCAAACAAAAGAAAAAGCAGTCTTTGGACCGTGCAGAAGCATTTTACAACTTACGTCTCCAGCATCTAGGTGTCACACCGGTGGCTTCCTTCACTGCACGGAGCGACCAATAAAGCTCGGCAACAACAAGTTCATCTGTCTGTGCAGTCATTTGAGGATGCGACCATGTGTGTATACAAATCACATGGCCGTTGTTGACAGCGCGTTGAGCAGCAGCTGGGTAAGTGGCTACATTGGAACCGATATACTGGTGCGAAAATCATCATGATTATTTTGAAAAAGGGGGAGGCAATTAGAGTGATAATCCTTTTTCCTTCCACCCAATAAACGTTGCTGGCAATGATAAAAAGTAACTTACAAAGAGTGTAGCAGTTTGGTTATGCTCAGCAAGAAAGTTGTACAGATGGGGTTCAGCCCACGAAGCATTGCCAGTATCAGGGATATTGAAAGGACCGTCATCATAGGTCAAGCCCCAATCACCAGGGCGGGGACAATAGTAGATGTCTTCGGGCAAGTAAGACACTTTGGGCTTGACACAATTGGTGTCGGACCACCAACAGTAAGGATCGGTACCAGCGTCATAACCAGACATGTCCAAGTCGCCGTTGGAACCCGCCTTAGTGACAGTCGCATTGGGCACATGGTTCCAATCAATGGCATTAATAACAGCTTGGACCTCAGCATGATCGGTCGTAGGCGTACCCCATGGCTCGGGATACGCAGTCAAGTTGAGCGTTGCTGTAGACAATGTAGGATCCGTATTGCGACTCGTTTGGTAGCTTGTAGCAACACCCGATGGAACAGCAAAGTTGGGGAGCCAAGTAGGCGATTCAACGGCCAAGAGTCCGGAGTCGCCGCTGGATGTTGTGCTGGGTGATGAAGCAGAAGGGATAGGCACAGAGGACGACATCTAGATAATGTAGCTATTTCGTGATAAGCAGGGTAAGGTAATACACGACGACAAGTGAAAAATGTGAAAAGAAGAGAAACAGTATCAATCGCGATTTGGAGAGATGAAAAAATCGGTGGACTTTTTATATTTAATCTGAGAGAGAACAGAATGTAAATTTAGAAATGAAGAATACTACTCGTCATGAATATAACTATGCGTGCGCGCACATGTATATAAAGATTTAAAAGAACGAGCGCAATGGAGAGCGTTTCCCTGATCTAGTAATAGCGATGACGCCCCTCTCTCTCAGCTATTTTCAATTCGACAAGCAACCATGTTGTTGTTGTTGTTGTTGTTTTTTATGCTGCAGTTAAGGTTGTACAGCGTAGCAGTAAAAAGTAAACAATAAAACGTGTAACTTGTGGCTTCTGTTTTGCAACGGGGATCACTTATAATCCATTCTGTTTGTGAGGTGTAAGACAGTTTATGTGCGGCTATAGTATGCTGCTCTGCTGTCGATGTGAATTTTGTTGTTGCAGTTATATAGTATCTTTGAGAGTGAGAGTGGGAGTCATTGTTTCTTGGCAACTTTGAACGGCAATGCACAAAAAAAACTGGCCGTTGCGCATAGCGGATTTTTCTTTACCCTAACTAATTTTCTATATTTGGCGAATTTGCTTCTTTATGGCGCTCACTCGGGGTTCACAAAAAAAGTTTGTTTTTACTTTTTTTACCTTTGCCTTAGCCTGATAATATGTGTGCTTTTCGTCTAATGATGTCCAGGAACTGATGCCGATGAGGATGATGATCCAGTAAGGGCAATACGATTCGCGCTTGGTTTCTCTCCTTTTTTTTTTCTGGTTTAAATCGTGGATTATTGCGCGCACTCAACTTTCTCTTTGCCACAATCATCCATCATATATGGAGAAAATAGAGAGCAAGTCCTCCTTTTTTGAAGTCAATTTCATCAGGAGGGTAAACCTTTACACTCACATATCGCTATTCTTAATGTCATTATGTATCCGTCATCACCGTTTAGATATGGGATCTGAACGTTAATGCAACAACACCAGTGTGACAATCGCAAAAGTAAAGTGCTACCACTCCTTACTGCTGTAGCATCCATTGCCTATCTGCCAGTGCGTATACAGATTGTATACCCGGTGATCGTTGTTTAATATATAGCAAACGATACCGTCGTCGTCGCGTGTCTTTCCGTACTTGTAATGATGCATTATGCAAATTTTTTTCATGTCGTTTTAAACCTTACATGTCTTTTTTTGGTAAGATTTATTGTATGTACTGTTATGTGATCAAAAAACGGTTTCTTAAGTAGTATTACCAGTATAATATGTCCAGGCGGGTAGTTTCTACGGGTATAATGCATCTTTTTCAAGGGTAGTAGTAGGGAACGGAAGGGAAAAAGGAAGGTTGAAGGCTGTTGTTGTGCGGAACGCACACAGTAAGTCCAAAGGATGAATAAAAAAGCTTAATATGTAGAGCGAATTTACGCCAACACGACAATCGTACAGTATTATCATATACGACGAACATGCGATCACAAAGAAGAAGAAGAATAGAACAGAAAGTGTTGGCTCCCCCGTACAATTCACCCCTTGTTTCCAGGATGATAACAATAATGCAATAGCAGCAGGCGGGTGGCAGTATACATAGAATAAGAGAAGTATCTCTCGGATTTTTTGCTGATCAAATTCCGCTTTCTCCGTTCAGCCCTAAACTCAAACCTCACATCCCACCTCACAACCCCTTCCTTCCCCCTTTCCGGCGGTGGTGGGTTGTGTGTACGACACACAGACATGCTCAAGAGCGGTTCCGTTTCGGACTTTCTGGGTTTAATATTATTACCTGCCGTCCGACGAGATGCAAGATACATGTGCTTTTTACATATTAGCTTTTAACAATTACTATAAACTGCCCATTATATAATATGAAAAGCACACAAAAAAAAAAGAGAGATACCGGATAAAATTTCAAGAATGTGATACCAAATGAGCTATCATTGACTGATGTTGGTAAAACTTGATATATCATTAATATGATATCAACGTGCAGATTAAGAAACAACAAAAGAGCGATCATGGCTGAAATGCTTGTCTGTGATTGGGCTAAGTTTAAATAAGGCACACTGGATTGTGTAAGAAATATATGATATGAACGGGATATACAGAAACCCTCCTTCTTGTAAAGTCCCATACACACACACACACACACTTAATTTTACCTCTCGCATCACACACATCCATATAGCAGAAAAAAAGGAAAGAAGAATGTCATTTCACACAGAAAACAAAAGGACAATTGTTGTGTGAAAAGAAAGTAGTTGGGTGAAGCCGATCTAAAAAAAATTCAGGGAAGAGGGGTGCCGGTTATGAGTAAATAAATCTGTGTCATTAGCAATGGTTGTGTTACATGCAACCGTCTTCTTCGCTTTTCATCATCATGATGATGGTTGAAAGTTGAGCGCGCATTTTTTCTTAACTGTCTCCTTTCAATAGTAAAGGGAAGGTACATTCCCCTTTCTCCCCAAAAAATCCCCCCTCGAGCGGGTCTTGGGAAGAAAAAGAAGTAGTATTAATAGGTAGCAGTAACTAGGTAAAGGGATGTAGACATTGTTCTTTACCGATGAGCGGGCTCACATAAAGCGCGTATCTTGGAGTTGGCTAGTGATGATGATGCCTGGTAATGATGGCACATGTCACATTTGTTGCCAAGGTACCGTTTCTACGGAGATCGGTTGCCGTGGGGATTATTGTTGAGCTGGTTGCTATGGTGATTGTTGTTGTGGAGTTGATATAGAAACGGCATCTGACACAAACATTCATCGTCAACAGAATGTGATATTAAAACAAGTGTGTGTGTGTGTGTGTGTGTGTGAGGAAGAAGGAGGGAGGTGTGAGAGAGGGGAGAGGGTGGCAAAAAGAACAACACAACATTCTTGTGATGATGGCAAGAAAACAGGTATACTTCCCTCTCTCTTTTTCTCTCTCTCTCGCTTTCTCCTGGGAAAAGAGAGTTGTCAACTCCGGGTTTTTGAGGGGCGGGAGGCGGATGAGAGAGAAAGAAAGAAAGATGCAAATCGGAAGTCTAATCTTGTATTTTCGTGGGCACTGGGATGATCTATATTGTTGTATTGTAAGAAGAATGTAAAAAGAGACACAGAGAGAAAGTACAAGAGAGAGAGAGAGAGAATGGTGTGTTCCATTGTTGGGGATGCGTTGTACACCGACAAACGGAATGATATGTGAGAGCCTATCGCATGGAGCGGGCCTGACAATATACACAATATCAACCCAAGCGATCGCTGGGTAACCTTCCAAGTCAGACGCGGGTTACCCGGGCAAAGAGAAAAAACAATGAAAAAAAAATAAACCAGACTCTATTAGTACAATAATAGATTGCAATAGAGAGAGAGAGAGAGAGCGAGCCCATATGTATTTCCCTATTGTATCAATCACACTACTGGCTCGCTCTACGTGTTGTGTGCTATGTGCGTGTGCAAACAACTTGTGTTTGAAAGTCAGTTTACGCGAGTCCCCAGGCCACCCGCATTTTTTTTGTTTCCCCTTCCTCTCACATCTACTATTATTCATTGGCACTACGAGCCTCTTTTTCTCTCTCTCTCTTTTTTTTTTTTTTTCACTCGCACATCCAAACCCAAAGGACCAAAACCCACATCCCCTTTCCTCTTCTTGGTTTTCTTTTACTTTGTCTTTTCTTCTTCTTTCCCCTCACACCCTCTTCCCATTTTTTTCACTCTTTCTCCCCTTTTTCTTATTATAATATGATGCGACTTGTTTCGTCCTCGTCGTCGTCGTCGTCGTCACCGTCTGTGGACGCGCCACAGCCAGTACAATCGTCGGCTTGTCCGTCCGTAGTAGTGGGATCCACGCCGCCACCTTCTGCTACCGCATTGGAACTGCCTCCAATTCTGGACCTGTCAACCAGTATGCTATCTTTCTTACAATAACAACAATAAAAACGATAACAATGATATAGTGAGAGAGAGAGAGAGAGAGAGCATGCGAATAATATAATTATAGTAATAACAATAAAATCCGTTATTATCTTTCTATTGAACACAAAAAAAAATCACAACAACAAAAAGGGATGCGCCCGCCGTCGCCAGCTTCGCCCAACAAAAAAGATGAGCAAGCCCTACCATGTGGAGATGAGCAGTTGGCAATGCAGAAACAAGCCATAGTACCTGCAACACAAGTGCAAGCACAAGCAGCAGCACAAGCACCAGCGTTCCTGGAACCAACGCCGCAACTTGACAACCATCGGCACTACGAGTCAGCGTTTCGGCCGCACCTATTTTCTGCGTTGAAAGAAAAATTTGATCGACGGTCGCCCTCCTCGACAACGACGTCTTCTTTGGAGAGGCAATACCCTCGGAAATGGAAATTTTTTGCCCACAAGATACCCTCGCTGCAGATACCCGTTCCGCGCCGATCATCGTCCTCGTCTTCATCTACTACTACCACTACCACGACTGCCACCACTACTACATCATCGACGCCACCGCTGCTTCAGCCCAGACATTACCACCAGCAACACAGCCCTCATCATCTTTCTCATCACCAGCAGTATGCCCCGCAGCATCATCAGGAGCAGTTAGCATCAACAGCACCAACAGTAGCAACAGCAGCACCAAAACAACAACAAGAAGACAGTAAGGACGATTATTCGCCAATGTCGCCCACGATGGCCACCGCTTCTGCCGCTGCTGCTGCTGCTGCTGTGCAGCATCACCCGGGCTCGACAGTTGCGGAATCATTTCTGAATTGTCTCCGACTGTCCTCTCTGCGCAATACCAGCAGCAGCGAGAACAACAACAATAGTAGTAGTAGTAGTAGTAGTAGTAGTAGCACCACCCCGCCACCTTGCTCCCTGTCCTCGTCCTCCTCTACCACCAACGACACAAGCTCTAGCAGTAGTAGTGACGACGAGGCTTTGCTCGAAGAGCAGGACGAGGCCACACGCATGGCCGCTGAGGCACTTGCTGCTGCTTCGGCGGATGCGCATCACCGCGCGGCACAAGAAGAGCAGCTCGTGTCACTTGTGATGCAGAACAAGCAATCCGCTCAAGCTGCCACTGGCCTGGATCACACAAAGTTCCTGACAAAGAACGCTCACATTAAACGACCACGGAATGCTTGGATCCACGTAAGTTCTACTATCACTACTACTCTTTCGTTATTGTTTGTGTGTGTTCAACGCTAACTGAGACCATGTACACATGGGCTGCTTGCTGTTGGCATGTTTCTACCCCCTTTTTTTTCTTTCTTGTTGTTGTTGTTGTTGTTTATTCTTTCTTTTTAGTTCCGATGTCATTATGGCCAGGCATTGAAAACTCAAGACCCGACGCTACGTGCAGAAGAGATCTCAAAGTAAGCATGATGATTCGCTCTTTTGCTTTGGGCTTCCAGGCCCTTACTATCCAGTCCCCCCCCCTCACTCTCTCTCTCTCTCTCTCACTTTTTCCCCTCCTTAACTCTGTCTGTCTTGTTATCCTTCGCCCATACTTACTTACATTGTTGTTGTTGTGCAGACGTGCATCGCGGCGCTGGGCCCGTTTGACGGAGAAAGAAAAGAAGCCATGGCATGATCTGGCCGAGCAGGAGAAGCTCGCACACAAGGAAGCGTTCCCGGAGTACCGATACTGCCCAAAACGCCACTCGTCGTCATCGTCATCTTCATCGTCGTCATCATCGCTAGCATCGCCCTCGCCCACGACGACACTGCTCTACCACGATGCAGTAGCAGCAGCAGCAGCAGCAACAACAACAGCGGCAGTGGTCGAGGTACATGCTGCGGAAGGCCAATCCGGCTGTGACACCAGCGGTCACCGGTACAAGAAAGCCAGACGGCGGACAAAGTAAAAAACAAAATGCAAGCCAACAACAGCCATTATACATATTGTACAAAATTTAAAAAAAATGAACGAGTTGCACCGAGAAGGGAAGGGGACACACTTACACACTTACACACTTTTACACACTTTTACACACACGCAATTCAACTCAATTTCACTTTACACTTTTTTATACAACACTCGCACGCACGCACTATCAACAAAAGCACTCACTCACTCACTCACTCACTATACATACTTCTTTGCACACACACAAAATCAAAAACAAACTCTCACCCGCACCCTCCCCTTCTCGCTTCCGCATCAACACACACACACACACACACTCTCTCTCTCTCTGATCTTGACTTGACACTTACATAACACACACATACACACAGCCCTTTTCTTCTATACCAGTTCTTCGTCTTTTTTTCTTCCCTGTAATCCTTTTCTTTGTTTGTTTGTTAGAGAGGAAAGAGCCTCTTTTCTTGTTCTTTTCTTGGTGTTGTTGTTGTTGTTGTTCGGGATTCTTTCTTTCTTTTCTTTTATTTAATGCACAGCTGATCTGTTTTTCTTCTTTTTTCTTCAATTTTACACACACAAAAAAAAAGAATTGGAACTTTTTTTGTATTTAAATCAAAATTGCTCTATCTATTCTACTCCTTAATTTCTCCACAATGCTGTTGTAGATTGTTGTTGCAATTTGTTGCCACGCAACAACAAAAAGAAAAAAGTGACACGCGATACACTATCGTCACACGACCGCCAAAAAAGAATATGCCCCCACCCCCTCCGAACCTCCGTGGTTTTTTCTTTCCACTACTCTGTTGCTTCTTTTTGACCAAGTGGCAGGTAGATCACCTCAAGGGAACCCAGCCCCCCCTTAATTCTGTTGGAAACAAAAAGCTTTCCATCTTACAGGGGGGAGGGGAGAGGATCGGTAGATACTATCCTTTCTTTCTTTTGGCGGATTCTTGATTTGCGTCAGTCTAACTGCTGTAGTATGCACAGGTAGTACATACGCTGCAGCATCATATTGAGTGTGGTATGAGGCTAGCTATGTATAGCAGAGAGAGAGAGAGAGAGTGGGGTGTGACATCGGGATCGGCTCTTCATTTTTCTGGCTATATATACATACACACACATCTACAAGGATGGATTTTACTCGATATACTATACACACCGCATACTATCAGACAGTAGCCATTCATTATTCAATGGCGTTTAGTGGCGTCTAGTGGTATCACTATTAAAAGGCTGATTACTGTTGATGTTGCTTATGGCAACCCACATGGTTGTCAACGTATGTAACCAAAATCGACCACAACCCCGAACACACACAATAGCCGCTTAATAGTATTATAAATGTGCGTATGTGTGGCTGTCGGATGTCAAACCTAAAATGTAGACACAAACAATAGTGTGTAATAAGTCATACACCCTGATCGCACGAAAGATAATCATTTCTCTCTCCAAGGGCGAAGCACGATGACTTTTAATTGAAGTATATCTGACTGTTATATATAGCTTTCATTATCCACTGACAGCAATGGCATCCAATATAAGCAGTAGCTGTCAATGATTTCATTATTCATGCGACGTCTGCTAGGTCACCGCATATAATCAACTTTGGTAGCCTCTCGTTATTGCGACTAAAGCGGCAGTACCAGTGCTGGTGGCTGCGTCGAATCCAGAGTGCTCGTCCAAAGTGCTACGGGTTGCACAGGATTTTAGTATCGCTTATTGTCTACAATGTGGCCAAATAGGGATTAGTAATGGGTTTCCTTTTTCACGAAGGCCTGCTATCTTGTTTACTTCATTATAGAGCACTATGACTTATCATAGCTTAGTAGCTGAAACACTTGATGAAGAGATGGGATATAAGAAAGTGATAGTTTATTCTCCATGGTCAATCATGAAAAAAGGAGGGGCTGGCGATTATGCTTGCCGAGACTGTCGCAAAGAGCCGGAGCTTCTGCTGTCTGCTGCAAGGGGACACGGAAGAAGGGGGCGGTTGGGGATACTGCAGACTCCATGTTATACTTCAACTAACAGCTACATGTTGAACTGGACCATACGTAGAAGGTCATTGATTCATCACGTTTATTGTTTAACGCTACTATGTAACCACTCATGAAGAAATTTCAGCTGTCCATCGCCGAATGACCATACAGTTCGTATAACCCACATTGAACGGAGAGCCTATCGCCATCCAGCTATATCCACGGAAAGGCGGTTCCATCATATCAAAAAAATCAATTCATTGATATTCGCCACCAACGCATCCTTCATGACGTTGGTTTTTGTCATATATCGATGACGCCGTATCGCTGACATTAATAACTTCGCTTCTTTGCCTTGCTTGCATTACAAACTACAGTAATACGGCTTGCTTATCATCTATCTCACATGTCCGCGAACTATGATACGAAAATGGAAGAGTGGAGTTGATAGAAGGCCATAAAGTACTCGATGATCGTGTTAGCTACTGTGCGCAACTTTCCTTTTTTGGTTTGAAAAGGATACAGAAGTGCATCAGAATGAGGTAGACTACAATCTGCTCGCACTGCACGGCAATTATACGATTTACATGATTACATAAAATAGAAAGAACACTTTTTTCTCTGTGGGGCAGATATACAAGCTTATTATTCTGATATACCATTTCGTTTTTGTTATATCCTTTGAATCTGATCAACAAGTAAGGTTCTTCAGGTCGATTCGTAATCCTACCCAAAAATGAGGATACTACTCACATTGACAGTGGCAATCAGGAGCAGATGTTCAATATATACATAGACTCCTCTATAGATTCTCTTTTCTTTGGAACTATTAGCATATTCGATCAGAGCAAAGGCACGGTGTAGCAAATATATGTACACTCAAGACAGCTATGCTGTGATATATTTCTACTGATAAACAGAAAATAATACGATTCTTTAGACCAGTACCAGCGTACTAATATGTAGCCGAAGAAAACACATGCCATCCCTTGTCGTTCCTTTGCTTTGCTCTTTCAAAACTTTCACGTGTACAGAAATTAGCAGGTGTATTCCAAAATATAAAAGTCATTTTAAGCTGTAATTTTTTCAGCCATCAAGGTTACTGACATGTTATCATACTAGTATGTACTTTTATTTTCTCTTGCGTTGATGATGTTGCGTTGGTCTCTAAGATGTCGTTGATGCTAATAGACAAGAAAACGTTATAGCTGTAGTGCGTGTTGATTTTCACATGGTATAATATTGCATTGGCTAGTCATAACAGAAGAACAAGAAGTACGTAGTAATCTTGTTTTATTCTTTTAGCAGGTCAGCATCTATGTGTGACATGGCGATGAATCACGTATTACATCACCTAAGCATCTACAGGAAATAATACACTACAATAAATATCAGCCGGATGAATATTGATATTGTTGTCTGTCTCGCCGGCCTGCGGAAGCATCATAACAAAATCGATGAGTTTTAACGGTATTGTTGAATAGTGATGGTGTTGGGGTTTTAGGAATGGAAAGTTATGAAAGAGCCAAGAAAGAGCGAAAGCATAAGCACGAGTATGCTACCGTTGTGTATGAAATGAAATAAAATGTTGATATGCAGCATTATAGTAGATACCCACAGCAACCGATACTACTAGAATACCGTTATTCCGTCATTATGTACTTCTTTATTGGTATCTTCTTCTTTATTATTAAAATCTTTAAAAGTTAGCTGAAAAATCCAAAAAAGGAAACTCTCATCCATGTAAATTCACAGACAGAAAAAGAGAAAGTAAATACTTACGCAAAGCATTCCCAAATTCATGGGGACCTCGGCCGCACTTTTTACCCGTGGGCTCGGGGAAATTGAAAATGAAGCAGGACTTACGCCCGGAGGCTGCCTGAGTAAAAAAACAGCCGTTCGCGTGAAACGATGCAACATCCGAAGATGGGTCGAGACAGAGGCTACTAGGAACTGTAGAAGAAAAGCAAAGGGGAGGGGAGAAAAGGTGGATAAACTATATAAGAAACGCAATAGACGCTTTTAACGACTTCCTGGGTCAGAGCAAGGGGAGGAGGGGAGGGGGGTATAAAATATATAAAGAACGCAAAGAAGAAGATGAGGCTTTTAAGGACTTCCTCAGGTCCAAGTCAAAGCAAAAAGCACACGCCACCGTCCAGATGGATGGATAGATCTTGACCACTGCCGATAGACTACTTGACAGGTCGGCTTCTAGGAGCGGGATGACAGTGGAGCATCAATCTTGACTAGCATGGAAATGTCTGTGCCCTATCGCCATTCCGAGAAACAAAAGAGATGAACAGTTAATGGGAAACTGTTAAACCACACACATACAAGATTCTATCGTGCTATACTTACCTATACTTCTACGATGAGACACAGGAGAACCGAACACCCAGCCAGTGTAGAGCAGAGAATCGCAGCCAGAACAGAAACACTTCTTCTAGCTGGATAAAAAAAAAGATCATTAGAGGGCTGCACCCACTGTGCTATCTTTATTTTTTAACACGGCATTACCATCCTCCTCCATCCCAAGCTGGATCCACCTATACTTAAATTTGTTTGTCGTTTTACAGCAAAGTTATAGACAGAGAGAGATGGGGTCTAAGCCCATCCAAGTTCAAACAGATCACCGCAGAGCCATCCTCTATTAGAAAAACGAAAACATCTATGAGCAGCTGCATACACTTTTTGACATGTCACGGCAGACATCTTCCTGGTTCTTCAAACACACAAAGACAAACACAAGCACAGCGATACTTACTATTATGACATCCTTGGCTTGGAGGAAGAGAGCCTTGAGTTAGAGAGAGGAAAAGCAAGAAGGGGATGACCAATTCTGAAAAAAGAATAAGAGAAGAAAGGGGAGGAGAGAAAGAAAACTTTTTTGAGAGACTGCCATATTGCATACGTCATGGTCAGGAGCCCTTTCCCGTCACGCTGCTGTACACACTGCACACCTTTGACGCGTCATCCCCTACACCCATGCCATCCTACTCACCTATCATACCAATGTTCAAGTCCCCTTTTGCTTATACTTACTATCTGTAACTTGTCCGCAGGACACAATTAACCCAACCAGCATAAGGCGGAACCTGAAGTAGAATGAAAAGAAGAAAGATCATGAGCAGGCTGTTCTTAATATGCAACTATTCCTGACACGTCATGGCATCAGCACCTCCAACAGACACTCGACTTCTCTCCAACTCATCCTCACATTTCATTCCCTACCGTACTTACAGTTGTTGCTTATGTTTAAGGGTGGGATGCAAACAACAAACCGAACCAACCATTTCAAAAAGTCAGAATCCTACAGTAGTAGCAGAGAAGAAAGGAGGATAACATTAGCGGCTGTATGCTGTACATACACTTCTTTAGACACGTCAAAATTCAGATCTTCTTTCGTATATCACATCCACAAGCAAAGCCTCAAGTCACACTTCACATTTTCCATATTGTACTTACTCTTGCATCTGTGCTTTTAGAGCCAACGTGAGGGGGAGATGGACCAGGTTAAGACGAGAAGAAGGTCTGTGTCAAAAAAGAAAGAAAGTGAGATAAACGGATCTTAAGATACTCGCAACCGGTTGCATACGCTCTGCTCACTCACCACCATAAACATACACTCTTCGATCCTCTAATCCGTTCCAATGATACTCACATTAAATAGCTTTTGCTTACAAACGTTGACGAGGAGGAAGAGGAGCGGCATGATTGCTGCGGCCGCGCGGTTATATAGAGTAATGAACACGGCATTTGAGCCAGTTCAATCTATACAATCAGATTGCTCTCTCACGTTTATGACGCGCCGAGGTGTGTGGCTCCTCCAGATAAGAAAGTTTATTCTACATGAATGTATGACTATGTGAGTAGACGGGTATCGCATCGAGAAAAGACTCAAGCGGATAAGCGTTATAAACACGATATGAAGCTCACTTCAAATCCTTCATCATCTGAGAAGTGTCATCGCTTTAAACACGCTGGATACAAGTATCAATACAAGTATCAACGTATACAAGAGTATCCAAAATCTCATGAGACATGGCGATCCCGCGCTTGCCGTTGTTCCATTTGATGGAAAAATTATGGTCCTTGGTGTTGACTTTTGCCAGGTACTCAACATTGTATCCTCTCTTCTACTTTGCATTCTTTTGCTATTGAGAGGTAATACTTACGTTAAAGTATCTACATCAAACCTGGTAATAGGTCCTTCCTGTGATACCAAATGCATCGCGCTCGCAAATCGTACAGCAGTGTCTAAATCGTTCATCAATTTGACCCAGTGTCACCGTCCATCGCCTTGAAACCAACATACGCGTCCAATAAGCTGCCAACACCAATGATGCAAACGAACTTGGCCAGTCTATGCAACATTTACTTTGCATTGGTGATGGTGCCGAGCTGTTGGTGCCAAGCGGAACTTGCACACCCATAGTGGACTCTGCAATAAGACACGACTGATTGTTACGCTCTCTCCAACGATATGTACTTGATGCTGAAATAGCCACTGGACCTCATACCGGCAACATCGTCTTGATCCCTCGCATAACTTTAACACCATCACAAATACGCTCCCCCATTCTCTTCAAACGCATCCAATTCCCTGTTCGCCTGGCATTCACTATGACCCTCAATAAGGCACAGGATCAAACTTTTAACACTGTTGGCCTCTACTTACCTGAACCTCCTTTCACGCATGGTCTACTCTATGTAGCCATGTCACGCGTCCGCACCCCATCATCTATTAGAATCATGTTAGATCCCGAGAACTCAAGTATCGCGGGTCAGCAAGGCCAAAACACCCGAAATGCTGTTTTCCATGAAGTCCTTCTCTAATTCTCTTTATCTTCTATCCTCTTTTTTATCTTCTATTCTCTTTATTATCTTCTATTCTCTTTATTATCACCTATTCTCTTTATTATCACCTATTCTCTTTTTTATCACCTATTCTCTTTTTTTCTCACCTGTTCTCTTTTTTTCACGCCTATTCTCTTTTTATCAATATCACTACATCATCTTTGTCAACACTTCTTTTCGCATTGTATTCTAAACTGGAGATAGTTAAGTATCCAACTTTGACGACTTTCTATGATAGGCTACTTCTCACTGCACAATAATCTTGCTTTTGATTTTGAAAACAGACAATAAGCATCTAATATCAAAACATTGATCCAACCTCGCTCGACAGGAGGGTTTGGGGGGAACCCCCTTGCGACGCGTTTCCGTTGAATGACACGGAGCGAAGCGAGGAAGTATTGGTATATTGTATTAAAATGAGAAAAGATACACAGTATTTTCCGCGTCTCTCTAATTACTGCTTCTCTTTTGGTCTGCTATGCCCGCAATTACTGCTTTTTGGTTGCCAGTTCCAACCGCTTTTCCGCAAAGAATTGGCGGATATGTGATTCAGTCACAACCTCGCCTGAATCTTTGAACGTTTGCAAAAAGTCTTTGATTTGTGATGACAATGCCTTGTATGCCATGATGCTTTCCATTGCTTGTACACGATCCATACGCATGATATGCTCCATACCTGCATCGACCAGTGATTTTCCTAATAATGGATCGAAGCAAACAAAGGCACGGATCAGGGAAACCAACATAGAGCGTTTCTTAGATAATTTGTATATTACCTGCATCTTCGTCTTCTTCGGGTTCGAACGTTTCTTCTTCTGAAAGTAGATATTCGATCTTGTGATCTTTATATGCATGGGCACACTATATATTGAAATTCGATTATTACCACTTGACCAAAGAACACGAAAGCCGAGATCGGTCACTGTTGCTTCCAGTCATATACCTCTTTGCATTGACATAGATGTGAGCGCCAGCCTTCTTTGAGAAAGAGTTCCACGTTTTCCTCGTTGTCATAGGTCACTAAGTGAAGGAAATAAATATAAAAACATAATTTTTAGACGAAAAGAATACTTAAATTCCAAGTTAAATTGAAATCTTTTACCTCGACCACATTGTTGTTCAAGTTGTTGTTTTTTGCCACTGCTATCACTGTTAATTTCCCCGTCGTCCTTCTTCTCATCTTTCTCAACTTGGTCCAGCTTGCGCTTTTGACCCGATACAACAGTAGCAGTATCACTACCACTACTACTAGTAATAGTAGTGGTAGGAGGAGCAGGAGCGGTAACCCATCGATGAATCTTTTCTTCATTCTTGGATAACCCAATGCTGATCCAGTTGTCGGGCTTTTGAATCAAGAATGGATGTTGCTTTGTGCAACCACGACATACATAGCTTTCAAAGTCTTCAACATCAGCTGGCAGCTACAAAGAAACAGACAATCAATCGCAGCGTTAAAAAACACTATCTAATTATTCAACATAATAAACCATCATCAAAGGAGACTGTAAAACCAACCTCGCCAATACATCGATCATGAAACCAATCTTCACAAACGACGCACTAAGAACATTAAAGTTAATTTTGACTAAAGCTCTTTTTCCATCCCTCCAGCAAAAAATCATGCTAATTTCTTTTTTGCTATCAAAAAGTATATACCTGGTACATGGTTCCGTCTTCTTGATCTGGATCATAATCTTTATCGCATCTAGAATACCAAGAAAAAAATGCAAAGGATAATGAGCTATTGTGTCAGTTACGGCATGGTGATAACCCATAGTGAATTGGTTCAGAGATAACCATACCTGCAATACCGGCCTCGAAAATTATGGTTATATTTGTTATTGACATTGCTTTCTTTATTATCGTGAAGGGTGCAACGGGAAACGTCATTGTCATTGTTGTCACGTCCAATGCCACAGTCGCAACGAAAACAGCGCTTGGGGAACAATTCAAAAAGTTCGTGGTCGGCATGACAAGCAATAGAACAACTATAGCAAAAGCCTGCAAGGTCTTTCTCTTCTGGGTAGCACGTTTTGCAGGAATACAGAGCTTGGCGAATATAGCCTTGGTCATAGGTACACTTTTCAAACTTGCCCGGTAAGACCTGTTGCGCTTCTTGTTCAAGTTGACGTTGCTGATCAACGATATCGACAGCTGTCAATATTTCGTCAGTGTTTTGTTCTGTCATTGTTGTCGTGTCAAGAGTCGTATTCTGAATGTAAGCGTATTTGTCTTTCACAGTGCGTGTGTTCGTGTGAGTAAAAAGAGAAGGAACGAAATAACGCGCTTGTAGAATTTGAGTTTCCTTTTTTGAGTTTACACAAATGGTGCGTAGCAATAGGGAGCCACCATACTAACCCAGTGTTAAAATCTGTTCCTTGCAAGCTTACAGAGGGCGGCTTACTCTTCTTCCCAACATCTGTACACCAGCCTATTCCTCTATTGATTGTGTGGACAGCAGTCGCTTCTCAAATGGTACTCCTGATGAGCGTGTTTCAGCCCTATCCATACTCTGAGAGAGAGAGAGACGACGCGAGCAAGAGCGTGACTTTCGGTGGTCAGAACGCGAAAATTTGTCAGGCACGCGTTCCGCTTCAAAACTTTTTCGTTTTTCCTAACGTTCTTTTTAACCTCGCAAACTACGTTATTACATATACACAGCAATCATGGCATCCATCGGTTGGGATCGCGGACAGATTTATTCGACTGGTGGCGTTTTACCTGGTGAAGACCGTGTCAATTCGCATGCTGAACTGACCTCTCAGTTCCTGCAATTCATCCAGAACTTTCGCATCGACAATGCTTTTGTTTACAGGCAAGTAGTTCTAAAACGCACCTGAAATATGACAGCACAAGATCCTCCAATATTCTAACAAAAGCAAACAATCGTTCCTGAATATATTCACAGAGATCAACTCTCGGACAATCTTATGTTGAAGCAACACTTTATTGAAGTCGACATGAGCCATCTTATCAGCTACAATACCGACCTTGCCAATCGATTGATTGCTGAACCCGCCGCAATGCTTCCTTTGGTATGTTTAATTTGCAATTAAGAACGTGTATTAACAGGTAAATGTACATAAAAAATAGCTGACGAAAGATTGCTCTTTCTGTTTTTAGTTCGAGGCCGCTGTCAAGGAGTCAGCAAAACGTATTCTTAGCCCCAACCCCACCTTGGCTGTTGATGTGCCTGATTGTCAAGTCATGTTGAAATCCGATGCAAACGTGATTCAAATTCGCGAACTGAACGTACGGCTTTTTCTAAAAAGATAAAAAAGAAGCATTAACAAAGAGTTTGAACAGAAAAAGGGACTGGGACTGATTTTGGAGTATTACTTTCATGTAGTCTGATTATATTGGCAAGTTGGTACGTATCCCTGGTATTGTGATCGGTGCCTCGACATTGAGCTCGCGTGCAACCTATGTCAATATCATGTGTCGTTCGTGTCGTCATACCAAGATGATTCCTGTCAACGGTGGATTTGGGGCAATCACTCTTCCAAGATCTTGTGATAGGTATAGATAATACTACCCGCTTGTAGGACATGGGATGAAGGGACAAAGAAAGAACTAGCGTATAAGTACCTGGAAAGATTATACATATACTTATGTCTTGGTTGTACATTTCTAGCCAACCTTTAGACGCTGACGCTGGTAAGAACCAGTGTCCCGTGGATCCTTTCGTTATTGTTCACGATAAGAGCCGGTTCGTGGACTCGCAGGTCCTCAAGTTGCAAGAAGCACCCGATATGGTCCCTGTAGGTGATCTTCCTCGCCACACCATTCTCAACGCTGACCGGTGGTTGACGAACCGTGTCGTTCCTGGTATGCGTGTTGTTGTGATGGGCATCTATTCTATTTTCCAAAGCAAAGCCGCGGTAAGTTTTTTTTAATTCTTGGTATTGTGCATATGATATGAGTGCTAACTGGGACGATCATACGAAATATACCAGAAATCTACTGGTGCTGCAGCAGTGCGAACACCCTATATTCGTATGGTGGGCATTCAAATGGATCAACACAACAGCAGGGGTGGCAAGGCTATCTTCACTGATTCCGAAGAAGAAGAGTTCATCCGCATGTCGCAGCAAGACAATTTGTACGATATCTTTGCCGACAGTATCGCCCCCTCCATTTTCGGCAACCGGGATATCAAGAAGGCTATTACCTGTTTGCTCATGGGTGGTTCCAAAAAGATCTTGCCAGATCAGATGAGACTCAGAGGTGATATTAGCGTCTTGTTGCTGGGTGATCCCGGTACTGCCAAGTCCCAGTTGCTCAAGTTTGTCGAAAAGGTAGCACCTATTGCAGTTTACACCTCCGGTAAAGGCAGTAGTGCTGCTGGTTTGACAGCCTCAGTCATTCGTGATCCTAGCTCGGTAAGTTTATCAACAAGAAGGAAGATATGGGCTGTATGTGGTATCACTGGGAGGTTTTTTGTGGAGCTTCACTCACTGAAAAAATCAAAACAGCGTGATTTCTATTTGGAAGGTGGTGCCATGGTGCTTGCAGACGGTGGTGTGGTGTGTATCGATGAGTTTGACAAGATGCGTGACGAAGATCGTGTTGCTATCCATGAAGCCATGGAACAACAGACAATCTCAATTGCCAAGGCTGGTATTACAACGATATTGAACTCTCGAACTTCGGTTTTGGCAGCTGCCAATCCAGTATTTGGTCGTTACGATGACATGAAGAGTCCAGGAGAGAATATCGACTTCCAAACAACTATCTTGTCCAGATTCGATATGATTTTTATTGTCAAGGATGAGCACAACGAAGCACGAGATATGGTAACGTGTTGCTATTAAATTAAGGACACTAATAGTTAGTATTAGCAGCATGAAGGATTGATTATACTAACTATCTGTACATATGATGTGGTGAAAATGGTTTTATCTTTTAAAAACTAGTCTATAGCACGACACGTTCTAAATGTACACATGAACCAGCAAGGCATGGAGGTATCCATGGGTGAAATCAGTCTGGAGAAAATGAAGGCATACATCAACTACTGCAAAGCGTAAGTGCTAATTCTTCAACTAAATGATTTTTTTTATTGATTGCTTATTACAAGAAACTAATGATTGGTCGTTTTTAACCTATTTTACAGAAAATGCGCACCTCGCTTAACAGCCGAAGCAGCCGAAAAGCTCAGTAGCCACTTTGTATCAATTCGTAAGGAAGTCAAAGAGTCTGAGCGAGACACAAATGTTCGTTCATCGATCCCTATCACTATCAGGTAGAGTCAGCCTTCCTAGAAAGCAGCCAGTTTTCTTTCAAAGATTAGATGCTGTATTTAAGCTAGAAGAAGCTAACGATGATTGTATCAATTAGACAACTTGAGGCCATTATCCGTATCTCCGAATCATTGGCCAAGTTAAGACTCTCACCTATCGCAACCGAAGAACACGTTGAAGAAGCTATCCGCTTGTTCAAATACTCTACCATGGATGCTGTGCAAAGTGGTGGCGCCGACGGTATGTCGCGCGGTGAAGTCATGCAAGAAGTCAGACGTATTGAAGAAGAAATTGGCCGTCGTTTACCCATTGGTTCGCAAGTGTCCGTGGCCAAGGTCAAGAATGACTTTTTGATGCAAGGTTATTCGGAAGCAGCTATTGTCAGAGCATTGGCTATTCTTGGCCGTAGAGAAATCTTACAGTTCCGAAGCCAAGGCAAGGTGGTGTTCAGACAAGCTGTCTAAAAGAATAGTGACCGGATGAACTTTGTGGATCACTTTCGCTCCCGTCTACTCTGAATCTTTTTTTTCTCTTTCTTCTCAGTATCTCTATATTTCTTCTCTAGCTCTCTCTATCTTCCTTTTCCCCCTCGTTAAATGTACATATCTCACATACACTCAACCACATTCATTCGCACATCTTAATTTTATAAAATACTTTTTCTCAGATATTATATGCGGTGTTATTAAATTACATTCTCTGTACTGTGCGGTAAGATTGTGAAGCAGGAAATAAATTATGGACCACAACCTCCAAGCTACGTAACTCCATAGGAAGATAACGGATAACAGGCAGGGTTGTCACTACTTCTCACTATGCACACATGGTAATCATACACAATCCTCAAGGGCGTTAACATGGCCGCCAATTAAAAAAGATTGTGAGATAACAAACATCATAGTAAAAAATAGCACGAGATTAACTACTAACAGTCTCTCAAACAAACGCATACTATGAATCTATCAACTGCATTGTCCATTATTGCTGGTTTAGTAGCTAAGATTATCATTTTCGGGTTTTTATTGGCGTTGTCATAAAAGAAAATATGTACTTTATGTGTGTGGCAAAGGTATTCGTGCGAGTAGAAGGTTGCTATCACGGATTACGAAAATGAAGTAACAATAGTAGCAATACGTATGGTATCAGGTCGTAATACAGGAATAGGAGAAATATTAAAGTAATGGTTGACGATAATTTTTGAGCAAAAGGGTTCCAGCACTGGCGTTTATACTATGCTGCTGTTGTCGAGCGGAGAATGGTACGCTCGGTTTTTGCAACCCCTCGTGTTCCGCAAATCTTACAAAAGATTTAATAGTTTCGCACATTTGCAGCCCACAAATGACTTAATATGATATACGTTATCGGCTTAGAAAAAAGTTTCATGGTCGAGTGACTATGGCTTCAAAGTTACCTTCGTTTCTCGTACTTTGCTGATATTGGTGCCATTAATTGTACTTGTTGTTATTCAATACTGGGCGTAGCACCTGCAGATGGTTGAAATTTCCATAGACATGATAAAAAATATTCAGGTACATCATTGACGCAAAATAAATTGACAGCAGCATCAAATCCTTGGCATATGGGAATGTATACGAAGGAACCCATTTAATTAGAGCGCAGGGCGCAGAAACGGTGGCGATTTATAGTTGAATCAATCAAAGAGTAAATGGAGGGATGAGTGGGGCGGCGTTTCTCTTGCCATGAGTGAGCGTCACGGACAGGTCGGCACAAGCGCCAAATAGGTATCAGATAGGATCATCAATGTGCGCATATTTTTCAAGGACACGAATGTTGCTAGCTCTTCCAAAGATCGAGGAAATGTAAGCTGTGTAAGTTCTTACATCACATAGATTTCATCGTGGCGGAGGCGAGTCAGAAAGAAGGTGATATAAAAGCCATGCACCTGGAAAGCCAGGGCGGGTTCCAATGCATTGGTATCAATGGTATCTTTTGCTAGCGTTGCTAAACGCAAAAGATCGTGCCATAGCGCGTGGTTATCGGTGGTGGGGCGTGCAATTTTGGCCTCTCCATATCCAAGACTGGATCCGAAGTCGCGCTGCCGCAGCTTGGAGATTGTGGCGTCAGGGCGCATCTCGCCATTTTCATCAGATGTGACATTCGACCAGCGCAGGAGCACTCTTCTGTCAGGAACAGAGAATAGCGATGACAGGATGGGATCAAAGTGCATAGTGAAAAGCTCACATTGCCCATTAGTTTGATTGTTTTTTCATGGCAACGAGCGGCAAGCGGCGCATAATATAGAAGAACTGTTCAGTTTTGGCACAGGCTTTACCCACCACTAGTCAATGATTGCCTTACGCTACTGAAGCGGAGAAGTTTGTGCTTCATAAGCGAACAAAGTTATTCTTCGTAAGCGGAAAACCTGGCGGTTCGTGGCCGGTATCAAATGCAAAATCCTGTATCATCAATTCACCACTGCTCGCCTTGGACAAGACGCGCTTAGATAAAAAGCTGGGCATCTACAAGCAAACGCAAGACTTTGAGCGCTTTTGGTTGGAATGCACACGCAAACAAATCAATCTAGACGTTCATGATGCGTATTTATCCAAGATGTCGTTGATCAAGAAGCAGACTTGCTCAATATGCAACCCCGGAAAGTATCAGCAGCACCAGATACGTCTGATTTGTTTCTCACAGATGATGCTACAGCAAGCCGCAACAGCATCCTGCACCGCACGACACCCACATTACACGCCCTAATTGCCACTACCGATACTACACCAACAGATCACGATCAGGATATTTTCGTCTCTACTCCAGAAACCATATTGGATGATATGCGAAACCCAAATCCCTTGCAGCCATGGATGTATCGAGGCACAAACGTGACTGAACGATTTACAAGTTTCAAGCAAGCCATCGCCACAATCACAACCAGCCAATTGCTCTTTATCGATCCATCTGTGCACGAGCTGTTGGCCTTGTCAAATATCTTTCTCTTGTGTACGAGTCAACACAGCCCGCTTTGCATCGATACTTTAATGATAGCATAGAAGCAATCCATCCGAATTATGTAAAGCACGACAACAATACACTCGTATGATCCAGTTTATGTAAGCAGTAGCCCGATATGGGCTTACGCGATATGATTTCGTTTGCGATCTCTTGATCTCTTATACGAATATTTACAAAGGCGGCTGATGATGCACTTAAGAATGGATGTCTTGTCACAAGTTATATTGGTAAATTCAAATCCAAAAAGAAAAGTACCTGGCAGAGGCAGGTAAAAACGAGGGGTCGGGGGATGATAGCGGATAGTGTTATAGAAGTGCTCGAAGCAGTAGTGGAAGAAGAACAGCATAATCAATAGCTTATTACCAGGATGACTAGGAGTGTATAAGATTCGGTTAATGCAAAGCTCAAGCCGATGATCAAAGGGTCTCTCTACAGGGTTCAGGTCAATGTTGCTCATATTGAAAAAGATGTTTGTTTGGAAGTTGTACTGCGTCAATATTCATGAAACCAGTGAGATATTGTAGAAAGTCTCGGCCGTTGTTGCATCGACTGCGGTGTGATGTGGTGGATTGTGTAACAAAGATATAAAAAAAGCTCCCTTATACAAGTATATAGCCACGGCAATCATCGATTGCCGATCAACCACCACCCCCAAGCCCGCAATGATGGATGTGGCCAGCTTGCCAAGAAGCAGACTCTAGAACAGCATGGCTGTTTTTAACATAGTAAGCGCGTCATCCTAGAACTACTATTAAATTATACAAGCTGCTGCTTGAAGTTGACCTTGTTGTTTAGCTTGCTCAATTTATTAACCACCTCCCTCAGCAGTAATAACACAAAGCCAATCGGACGTTGTGTTATTCCTTCGACGTATGTGCGGGTGATGTATGATACATGAGAAAAACAAGGATGGTCGCGAAAAAAAATAAAAATAAAATAAAAAAAGAGCTCTGAACTTGTCAAGCACATAAAAAGGGCAAAGCAAAAAAAGCAAAAAACGGTAAAACGTTTATGAGAAGAGTGCGAGAAAGAATAAAGATTTGTTTATAGTGTTTATCATTTTTTTTTTATTTGTGTGTAATAATGTGTGTAATAAATAATAGTAATAATAATCTGTTCGTTCCTCACCCTCCACTGACCCGCACTGGTACATTGCAGTCATCTCTTCATGGCGGACCACTGAGCCCATCCAATCATCAGAAAACTCTGAACAATCGCCAGCACTGGCACGGAACTGATCATAGCACGGACAGTGACTCCCGCGCATACAGCCCAATGCCTTTCCAAAACGAACTAAAGTGAAGAAAAAAAAAGAAGTAAAAGAAAAGCGAAACTGCTCGCTTTATATAGACGTTTTTTTGACTGTCACGTTCGGGACTCCAAAAAGTTCCACCAAGTTCCATGGATTTTCATTGGCTTTTGCTTAATAGTATGGCTTTCAGCATATGGCTCAAAGGGACTATCACGAAAGGAAAGGAAAGGGGGTGTGCTTGGTGGTCATCTAAACAAATGTGCTGCGGCGGTATGTGGTGGTACGTGTCTTTCACTATGGGCAGCTGTACCTCCGACGACGTCGCCGCTTGTTTGTGAGTGGGGCCGTGCACGGCACCGTGTCAAGCGAAAATAAAGACACGAATGCGAATGAGCAAGTAGATTCACGGAAGAAGTGCTTTTCTGCGAGCAGTAAATGACGGGAGAATAGGCGTAACTGACAAGATATATAGCGTAGTTTACATACAATTTCAGTCTATCAGTACCTTTTGACTGTAAGTGTGGTGCATAACGTTGTTTGTGTACGGGCATCGTTAAAATACACTTAATCCCATCGCATCTTTTATTTTGAACCGTGCTCGTCAACTGTTGCTTTACCATTTTCGCTATCCGTTAACAGTTCTCCGAACTGCACCGTGTGCAGTGGATGATTGCTCGTTTGTATATGACTGAGTTATAGAAAAAGCTTTCTCTCCAGTTTTCTCCTATCCATCTGACCAAGACCCATACAATCAAGCATCAAGTCGACCTTTCTCTAAGGATCCGTCATGATGAAACGAGTCGCCGTTCTTTTTACATCGACATCAATAGAAAAAGAAGCGCTTATTTACAGATTTCTCCCGACACAGAAGAGACTCTGACGGCTTACCTTATCATTACAAACCAGCTCATCCCAAGTGTATGTTGATGTTGCTTCTAGAGTGGACCAGCCCATGATGAGTTTGCGTTGCTGCTGGTAAAGTAGAATCCTCCATCCTGAGTGTATACTGTTACTGCTAATGCAGACCCGCTCATGATGAGTTGATGCTGGCTGCTAGTAAAGTACCATCATCCACCAATTTTATGCTACTACTGATAAAGTAGACCCGCCCATGATAACTTGAAATATCAATTAGACCAAGTACTGTTTTGATTTTATCAAGAAAAGTGCAAAGAATAAAGGAACTACAAACGCGTCAGCCGATTGTATTGGCTAAACGTTGCCCGGAAAGCACCACGGGGGGGGGTTCGTTTGCGCAAAATTCTGACCTAAATTGGAACTTCTTACTCACGTTGATACTTTACCTGTGCAAATGCTCCGGCTCTTTGTCCTGCCTTATTAAGCCTTATTAAGCGAAGCCATGTTGGATTAACACGACGCAGATACTCATCTTTAACATTCCTTGATGGTCCCTTACCTTTGTGGTCGGCTGTCTCCTTGTGCGCGCCTCTTGCTGTGAGTCTGCCTTGAGGTATTTGTGAAACTGTTTTTTTTTTCAGTCGAAGAGAGTGCGTGCCTTGCTATTATCTGCTTCAGTTGTTCGTTTTCGCTACTAGTACTACTACTAACGTTTGTATATATAGCAATAATATGTATGTATCTAGGAGAAGCTCGAGGATTACCCATAATAACGATTTATATAATATTATCTGTTTTCGTAGTACAGTTCACAGGTAAAATGAGCATACGTACAGTGGTTCCCCGTTTAATTTCACTTTCTCAATAAGAGTTTTTCTATACCCGCTTTAAGCATAGAACACTGCTTGAATTACGCTCGTTTTGTGTCAACCCTCAGTAATATACAGCACTTTATAAACCCCCTTCAAGGTTGAAATTAAACGGGGAACCACTGTAGTACTACTTCTAGTAATGGTCGCCGTTGCAGCAACTACCGTTTATCGAGCCCACATTTTGTGCGCTTCTTTACGCACGAGCCACCACATACCAAAAAGATAACGTAAAAATCATAATCTCGTTGTCACCACTTTAATTCACTTAAAAGTCCACTAAGATATTAACCATTGTAGGCTATGCCATTAGAATTATGCATTGTGCCATATCCGGGTTGGAATCCCAAACGTCCAAAAATTACTGTTTGTTGTCGTTTGTAGCCTTTCGGACACCTAAAACGACCTTCCAAGGCTTAAATGGTTTTTGATATTTCATCTGCGGCCAACAATCATGACGCCGTATCCTAGCTCATCAACTGATCCAGCGGAAAAACGATTCAACAAAGTCCATTCTTCAATGCGAATGGCTATTGAGCGAGCATTCGGTCGTCTTGTTTCCCGGTGGAGGTTTATGCGAAATTACATGTACCTCATGGATCATACAAGCCTGACGCTGGTGATTTATGCCTGTTGCATACTCCATAATATCTGTATCGAGCAGCTCGATCCGCACTCTGACGAACTGTTTCCATTGAACACAGAAGAGGATGAACAAACCGGACGTATATCAATAATAGATACTGATAGACAGTCTAGTGCTAGAGAAGACAGTACAAGGTTGTTTGCACAAGGGCGTCAGAAACGCGATATGCTTAAAGAATCATTGTCCTCAAATCAATAAACGCAATACCTTATACATTGCTCCAGTATATCTGCTCTATATCTTTTAGATATTGACGTGAAGTGCTGCTTGGTACTAAAAGTTCGCGTATAAAATTATTAGGCATCTTTTCGTAGCAGTTATTGTCTGTAATGTCATGACTAGTTTTCTTCTTCACATTCTGTAAAGTGCAGTAAAGTGCTATATTAGAAGATATTAATCATCACACAGGGTATTCTAGATACACTTTTAACAATTCTGAATAAATGTCATATTATAATATGAAAAAATTTATTGTTCTTCTTCGTTAAAATTACTAGGCTCTCCACTTCTATTTGTGTTTGTAGGGCTACCAAACAAATTTCTTAGTGTCTGCAAGTACATATCATGCCGGCGGTCTTCTGCTTCCTGCGCCTCTCGCGAACGCCGGTCTTCTGCTTCCTCAAACC